CAACCACTGAGCCACATGGCTGGGCTGAAAAAATTCTTCAAAAATACAACCAAAGAGCCCTAGCTGGTTTGCTCAGTGGACAGAGCATCAGCCTGTTCGGGGTTCCATTAGGGTCAAGACCACACGCCAGGGTTGCAGGCTTGTTCCCTAGGAGGGGGCATGCAGGAGGCAGCCGGTCAATGATTCTCACTCAACATGGATGTTTCTATTTCTCTCTCTCTCTCTCCCTCTCTGAAATCAATAAAGATCTATATCTTTAAAAAATATATACAACCAAAGCCAGGTAAGGCAACAATAGCGCCAAAGAAGCAATCTGAGTGACTAGGAATCAGCTTTATCCCGTCCTAAAGAATATTAGTCAACTTTTCCTCCAACGTCAAGAGATCCGGATGCTATGCAGTCATTACAAATGGTGACTATTGCTGAGCTGCTTTTACTAACCCTGAGTGTTCAATACAAGCTTATTGAAATCAATCATCGGCCTCCGCCTCGCATCCGTCCCCGACACTCAGCGGCGGTGGTTCGCGGCGGCACTGGGAGCCCCGGAGCCCGGAGCGGCGCGGAGTCACCTGCGCAGCCGGCCCCGCCCGCAGAGCTGGTCCCAGCGGCGCCGGACAGCGGAGGCTCCTCGGGCTGGCGCCGCCCGGCGGAGGGACAGGAGCGGCTCCTCAGGCTGGCGCCGCCCGGCGGAGGGACAGAGGCTCCTCAGGCTGGCGCCGCCCGGCGGAGGGACAGAGGCTCCTTAGGCTGGCGCCGCCCGGCGGAGGGACAGCGGAGGCTCCTCAGGCTGGCGCCGCCCGGCGGAGGGACAGAGGAGGCTGTGGCGGCGGAGACGCGGGCGCCGGGCCCCGGCAGCAGCGCAGGGCCGGCCGCCTGCGCCGCGCCCGGAGGCCGCGCAGCTCTAGGGCCGGCTCAGCGGCCCGCGGCCCGGGGCGCCCTCCCCATCCGGCCCGCTCGCCCTCACCGGCTGTCTGTCGGTCGGGTGCGCTCGCTCGCTGCCTGCCGCCCGCACTGCCAGCTCCGCCGCCGGCCGCGCCCCGCCCGCCCCTTTGTGACACCCGCCCAATCGCTCGCCGCCGCTCCCGCCGCCCTCCAATCAGGCGTGGCCACAGGCGCCGGCGGTTGCTGGGCGCCGACTTTTCTTTGGATTCGGAGGGGCCGCCGGTTGGGAGTGGCCCGGATGTTGACCCTTTATTACTAAAGTAGACACCTGCCTAGCGTCGGGCGCCTGGCGACCGCGCACAGGCTGCTGGGAGCCTCCGGCTGGCTGGGGAGTCCCAGCTACTGTGCGGGCCAGTCCAGAGCCAGCGCCTCCAGCGTTCCTGCCTGCCTTGAAAATGCGCATTGCACATTTGCTCCCCTCATAATCCTGCAAAGTTAGTGCTGAAAACACTTGACAAAAGATCAAATAAAAGCTAAGAAAGGGAAACAATTTGCCTGCATTCAAACAGCTCTGAGTGGAGAGTCAGATTTAAATCTAGATCTCATGAAGATCCAAACTTGGGAATAGGATGGAGAGGGGTCAATCGGGGAAAAACACACACAAAGGGGACATCTGTAATACTTCCAACAATAAAGTTGTGGTGTTTGTTTTTTTTAATCCAAACCTGTTCCACCATTCTACACTGTTTCCAGATTTTAGCATTTTCTGTAAAACTAGAGGCTCGGGGGGGGGGGGGGGGGGGGGGAGGGGGTCCCCCAGCCCAGCCTGCACCCTCTCCAATCTGGGATCCCTCAAGGGATGTTTGCCCATTTAGGCCTGATTCCCCTTAGACACCCCTGTCACAATCCCAACCACTCACCTGCCTGCCTGCCTGATTGCCCCTAACCACATCTGCCTGCCAGCCTGATCACCCCCTAACCACTCCCTTGCCAGCCTGATTGATATCTGACTACTCCCTGGTCAGACTGATTACCCTTAACTGCCCTCCCCTGCCATCCTGGTCACCCCTAACTGCCCTCCCCTGCCAGTCTGGTTGCCCTGTCCTCTCCTGCAGGGCTGGTCACCCACAACTGCCCTCCCCTGAAGGCCTGGTCAACCCCACCTGCCCTCCCCTGCTGGCCTGGTCATTCCCTAACTGCCCTACCTTACCAGCCTGGTTGCCCCCAACTGCCCTCCCTGCAGGCCTGGTCGCCCCCTCCTGTCCTCCCTTGATAGCCAGGTCATCCTTAACTGCTCTACCTTACCAGCCTAGTTGCCCCTAACCATCCTACCCTGCCAGCCTGGCCTCCCTCAACTGCCCTCCTGTGCAGGCCCCCCGCCTCCCATCAACTGCCCTCCCCTGCAGGCCTGTCTCCCACCCCAACTGTCCTCCCTTGCAGGCCTGGTCCCTTCTAACAACTGCCCTCCATTGCAGGCCTGGTCCCCCCAACTGCCCTCCTCTGATGGCTCGGTCACCCCTAACTGCCCTTCCTGCTTGCCTGATCACCCACAACTGCCCTCCCCTAAAGGCCTGGGTGTTCCCCCAACTGCCCTCCCTTGCTGGCCTGGTCACCCCAACTGCCCTCCTCTGCTGGCCTGGTCACCCCTAACTGCCCACAATTGCCCTTCCCTGCAGGCCATCTTGTGGCAACCATCTTGTGTCCAATTGGGGATGGCCCAGTCAATTTGCATATTACTTGTCTTAGGAGTCAATTTGCATATTACTCTTTTATTAGATAGGATGAGGACATTACCTACCCGAGTTATGGAGATTGAATAAAATAAGAAATGCTCACCACATGGCCAATAAATATAAGTTCCATCCCCTTTCAAACTCCTCAAAATAGCAATTTGCCTATTTTCTAACTATTTCTAACTCTCCTGAATTCCCTGGAATCAATCGTAAGGACATCAAATTTGTTTACTCCCAAAGAAAACCATCTTTAACAAATGCTTACGGAATCAACCAACACAGTGAGCTCAAACTCAAGAGCAGGAAACCATGTATACAAATAACCTAAGGGACAGAATGTTGTTGTGTTATCGGATAATTGCACGGACTACTCTTCTCAGTTGCCAAAGTGGGGTTCTTAAGGCAACTCTGGAATAAAAATTTCCAGCTGCCCCCATGTGAGGATGAAATGTGGCAGAAAGTTTTATTTGTATGGAATTATATCGCTCATGTTCCAAAGTCCCTTTTCCTCTAAACCAGTCCTGGAATATATGCAAGTAGGAGCCAGCAGAGCCAGTGTCCAGTTTCCGTTCCATGGTGGAGCTGAGCCCGGCGTAGTGTCAGGCTAGTCACAGTGCGTCTGTGTGGGGTGCACATGGCTGTGGGCTGTGTGGGGAGCCCAAGTCAGGACTCAGAGCCCAGGAGCAAGGAGCAGGCAAGAGCGAAAGAGCCCCTTTGATTAGGAGCTGAAATATCAAATCTTCTTGCACTTGCAGTGGCTACTCCTACAGTCCTACTCTAGCCAATGCCCTATTCCCAGGCATGACAGACAGGCAAGCACCTTAGACTTTATTGGGCATGCCTGTAATATTTGGCCTTTCTAGTTAAGTACAATATCATGCACAAAAGGATCAGAGAAAAGGAATAGGCAACTAGTAAGCACCTCTCCTGTCATAGGGTAAGCAGAGGAAGGCCAACAGCTGATCTGTGGCAGCTGTACAAAATCCTTGGCTATGAGGTGAGCAATTCCCAGTGCAATCTTAAAAATGGGCACAGAAGAAGTTAGTGGTTTCAGGATTGGTGAAGCCAATCTTGCCTACAAGATTGTGCCATTGATACACATTGATTTCTGAGCACCAAGATGATACAGCATAGGAAAATACAGACTGGGAGGGACAGACATCAATGTGGCCAATAGCTACACTGGGCAGCAATTACAGGACATTCCCTTAAGTGCTGCTCCAGAGACTGGAATTCCTACTCTTAGCACTTCTCCCTACAATTTCCTAGGTTCATTCTGCCTCTTTGACAAAATAATACAAAGTTCCAAGGAATGGAAATGAAAATAAGGATCAGCTAATGATTTCTGAAAAAGGCAAGATAGATGACATCTTAGGCTTTGTTGGGCATTCAGCCTTTGTCACAACTACTCTGGCATTATAGGGTAAGAACCAGACAATCTATATATATAAAAGGCTAATAATCCAAGTGTCCCCTCGGGAGTTCAACTGCTTGCTTTGATGTGCGCTGACCATCAGGGGGTGGCACAGAACAAAGGCAGGCCCCAGCCAGCAGCCAGAAGGAAGACCCCAGTCGCAGCCAGAAGGTGTGGATCAGCCCTGATCACCAGCCAGGCCTAGGGACCCTACCTGTGCACAAATTTCATACACTGGGCCTCTAGTATGTAAATAAATGGGTATAGTTGTATTCCACTGAAACTTTATTTTCAAAAACAGAGAGTGAAGGGCCATAGTCTGTCAAACCTTCCCTTAGAGGATTTGTAGAGGTATTAAAGGAAACCTCTCTCCTATTGCAAAGACATATGGAGAAGATAATCTCTCATCCCTTTCCTCTACCATCTGCCCAGGCTCTAAGATAGGGCTCCCATCCATGTATAAGGAAGACTCCTGGTCATCAGTCTGGCTTTTGCTTGTCACCTCTGGGATTCCTTGCCTACTCATGAAAGGCACAAATAGGTTTCTTCCCTAATATTGTGGCTATACCAAAGCTAATTATATATATATATATATATATATATATATATATATATATATGCCTAAGTGATCAAACTACTGGTCTACCTTCTGTGGCCCTGATTGGCCCCGATTGCTGGCCAGGCTGAGGGAGACCCACAGTGAACAAATTCGTGCACCCAGCCTCTAGTATTAAATATAGTTTTAAAAGAACAAACAAACAAAAATAAACACTGTGAAACCTCTGTTTTTGTTTTTGCAGTATTAAGCATAATTAAAACCAGTGCAGAAAAATACAAAGTGCATTTGGTAAGAGGTGAGTACACTACTTCAGTATTTGCTTCTGATAATTCAGTTAAGACAAAAAATGCATAAGACAGAATTATTAACTCAAGGATGTAGCTGAAGAGTGAGATGGCAATCTCTGTATGCTCTACTGGCCTCCAAAGGCATTCAAAGGATCGTCAAATATGTTGGCCACCTTCTGTTCAGATCTTGGTTCAGGTGCTGCCTGTGAAGAGCGACTTTTTGGTTTGGCTGGCTTAGCCTGGATGCCAGAGAAAATATCATCTTTAAAAAGAAAGAAAAAGAGTTGCTAAATAGGCAAAAAAAGAAAAAGAAAAATACAAACAAAAAAAGAAAACAACTACACAAATCACAAGACTCAAGTCTGATAACAGAATGGGTTACCAAAAAAACGCTACAATAGAGCCAAGCCTCTTAGATTCTGGTCCTACTACTAATTAAGTTTTATGATCACATACAGGTCACAGGTTCTCTCTAAACACTCTTTTCTCAGCTCTGAAAGTATATTCTTATTTTGGAAAAATGTAAGTATTCAAACCTCTATCAGAAAGATTACAGCCTACCTCTTAATAATGGCTACCTCTAGGTTTGTTTTCCACTGTTTACATTTTCTGACTAGTATTAATCTATTACAAGAGGTATGCATCATTTCTTTGTAAACATAAGTCTCTTCTGCACCCCATGTGATTGGAAGCAGGTGGAGATGGAGCTCACAGCTTGCTTGGGAAGAGACCCAGTCTGGCACCTCAGCACCAGCTTTCTACCAGTTAACCCAAGGTTTCGGCCTGGGAGAGAGAGTGGGAGGAGGGGGAGCTGTATATCTGGCCTCAGCCCAAGTTCTATTACCAACACCAAGTCATTACATTTAGGGTTATGAGGCATTTGGCTTGTCCATTAATAAAGTAAATGTTACACCATGGACAGAAATGAGCATATTTACAAACAGATCTTTGATGAGATGTTACATCTGAGTTATAACCTATTATACTTTCCTGTCTAGTCCTGTGTTCCTGAATTGCCCCTCTGGACACTGATGCTCACTCTCCACCTGGAACTCTGAGTCAACCAACTGCATAATGCCACGGCAGCAGCCTCTGTCAGCCTCACATGTGGTGGATAATGCTGATCCTCCTTTCTGAGCATCAGTGTGCAGATCTGTCACAGCTCATTGGCAGTGGGCATAAGATAAAAGTTAAATTGCACTTAAGATCAAATTCTGGGATCCTTCAAATCCTTGATGTCCATGACACCCGAAAGCTATTTCACCATTTACCTATCCATCCTCAGCGTAATCCAGATTTACACAGTAAGCCAAAGGAACCCCACTGGGGAATATTTTCCAGGAAAAGGCCAAAATAAAGGTAGCAGGAGAAATACCAAGTCATTGAATGGTAATAATCTCTATGTCATTATTGCGTATATATGTGGTGTAGAAAACCCAACTTACCCATGTCATCATCAAATATAGACTTAGCTTCCACTTTCTTTTTGGACTTTTCTTTTGGTTTTACAGTTAGGTCAGCAAAGATATCAATGTTATCATCGAACAAGTTGGGTTCAAACGTCCTTTCCTTCTCTCTTGTTTTTTGTAAGGGTTTAATTGCTTCTGTAGCAAATATATCATCCTTGTTAAGGTAAAAAAAAACAAGCAAAACAATATTAAATCATGAACTTTTTACTAAAAACACTCCACAGAGAGGCTTTCTCTACCAGGCCTTTCTGAAGGAGAGGACTCCCCGTACCCATCACTCTGCCCCACTGCCCTAAGCTGTTTTCTATATGACACTTACTGTTGCCCTGTCCCAATTCCACTCCCTGGGAGCTCTGAGAGATGCTCAACGCACACGATGCTCAACGCACACCTGCCCAGAGTGCCACTGGGGGCCTCACAGTCTGTGCTCAGTCATCAGCTAGGACCTGCTTCCCAAGAACCAGGTTCAGCACTCAAACCGCACCAATGCTGCCTTATACAGGCCACAGAGTGGCATGCCAAGGAAGCTGGCTGATAAAAACCAAGATCTATCTCAATGGTTATGGCCAACCAGCAATTACCAAATACATGAAACAAAACAAAAAACCATTTCTGACTAAGTTTCAGAGTTATTAATAAGGGAACCTAATTATAATCACTAAGCAAGTAGATACTGGGTAGAAACAAACAAACTTTATGTAATCTATAGCTCAAATGAGCCAACTGGTATTTTCCTTCATCTAGAACCAGGCATGGAAACATACTGTTATATCCTATTACCTCAAAAATATCTGGAGCTTTTGAGACGGCAGCTTGCTGACCACTGGGTTTTGACTTGTTCCTCTTGCCTTTCTGATCTGGAAAGAGAGGGTCCTCGCCTTCCAGGAGAGGGAAGGGACTGGCTTCCTTGGCTGGCTTTGGTTTAACAGACCGGAAGAGGTCGTCATCACTGCCTGCCTCAGCCAGAGCAGTACACACAGGGCTCTTTTCTCCGCTCCCTGCCTGTGCCTTGGCTTTTCTTCTTCCTGTGGGCCGAGCTTCAGTGGCTTTGGAAAAGATATCTTCAGAATCAAAAAGGTCACCTCCCAGAGGCTGACCTGGAGATGTCCCAGAGGGGCTTCTGTCCACTCCAGGCACCAGACCACCTGTCCAAGTCAAAGTGGCAGCTGCCACAGCCTCCTCAGAGCGATCTTCTCCACCAGCCGCCCTGGGCTGTGGCTGATAGCCCGCTGGGGGAACGGCACCCTCTGACAACTGTGCAATGGATCCTCCAGGGACACTCGTGTCCTCAGCCTCACTGGATTCCTGGGCAGCCAGCCGTCGAGCTGCACGGGTCTGCGGCCTGCGCTTCCCTCTCACTTTGACCCGGCTCTACAAGGACAAAAGACCACATGTTGATCTAGTGATTAAAAAAAAAAAAAAAAGTGTCCAACCCTAACACGGCAAATAATCAGCAACTCTACCTCAATCAAGATATTATCTAAGATATAGAAGAGGTTATTTTTTTAAGATTTCCAGAAGTCTTATAGCTCTTAATACTCCAAAATTAAGTCATTTTCATCCTTCACTATTCCCCATTTTTTAGTCTTTTGAAGGCAACTTCTATTCAATTTCATACAAAAGGCTTCATCTGCTATTGAAATCCGAACAGAAAAGTTGGTGTTCTGTGTCCCACACCCTTCCTAGTCCCTATTCAGCCTGTGGATTTATTTCAAAACAAGAAAGAAAAGGAGAATTTCTGGCACTAACCTTTCCTATGGACTAAACTAAAATCACACTACAAGAGCAGGGAGATACAAAAAAATATAAGGTGTTCTTTTCTTCACATTAACAGAAAGTAAATTCAACTGGTAAATATGTTTTAAAAAGTGGCTTACAAAAAATAAGAAAAAGTGGCTTACCAGTTGGAGAAAGGCAAGTCTTACATGATCGCACTCATTTGTGAAATATAATGAACAATATACCAGTAAACTGATGAATAAAAATAGATCCAGAGACTGGCAAACCACAAAAGAAAGGCAAGGGGGAAGAGGGGTAAAGACATCAACCAAAGGACCTGTATGCATGCATATAAGCATAACCAATGGACACAGCTAATGGGGGGCGGAGGGTGAGAGCAGGTTGGGAGAGGTCAATGGGGGATAAAGGAGATATATGTAATACTTTCAAAAATAAGAATTAAAAAAAAAAAAGAATGTGGTTTACAATCAGTGATTCTCATCACTGATGTTTCTCTCTCCCCACCTTACTTTCAGAAATCAACAACAAATATATATATATATATATATATATATATATAATTTAAAAGTAGCTTAAAGAGATCAACCAAAAAACTTGTATGCATATATGAATAACTCATTGGACACAGATAATAGGGTGGTGGGGCCCTGTGGTAAGGGTCAGGCTATAAGGTGTCAATGGGAGAAAAAAGGGGACATATATAATATGTTCAACAATAAATATTTTTTAAAAGTGGCTTAGAAATCAGAACTCTTAATATAACCTTAAAATATTAATCAATTATGATAATAATGGCAGTATTTGTGATCTTTTCCAAAATATACAATCAACTCATTTGAGACTGTATAAGCTACTTTGGGCAAAATAAGTACTTGACTATGTTTGCCTATTTCAATGAAATTTAACAAACGATTTAAAATAGTAGCCACTTAAACTTAACCAAAAAGAAAGCTAAAACACATAACAAAAGGATTTTATTTTTCACAGGAAAACCGGTTTGGAAACACCTGAAATGAATTTATCTACCTGGGTTATCCAGGCACTGTCACTTACTCAGAGATCAGCTAAGCCTTCTGGAGAAGAAAGAAGACTAGATAGAAAAAAAGAGAACCAACTCAAATAGAAGCAAAACCTCAGAGAGCACAATCCACCCAGCAAAGTCTGCAGTCCCGGGGAGAGTGTTGCGGGCTGCACTAGCTGGGGAGCTCCGAGGAGAGAGCTTGGGACACGAGGCAGGAGAGAAAAAGCAGTCAAGTCTGAGCAGAGCTGTCAAAGAGGGCGCAGCCCTAGCGGATGACAGCTGGGAGGGGCGTGGGGGGAGTGTGTTCAGAGAACGGTGCCTGGAGTGACCGAGTGTAGGCAGGCAGTGTGAGGTGAGTGGTGGGGAAACTGGAAGCTCCAGTTAGCACAGACTAGAAAAGCTTTACTCCCCATCCAAGGAGCTCTCATGTCCTCCTTTGGACAGTGAGAGCCAGCAGAGGAGCCAGCAGAGGATTAGACCTCTGGCAGCAATGCAAGAACAGGAGGGAGGTAGCGGATTTCGCTATGGCTACTGAGCAGAATGTAAATGCAACAAAGGGGGGGGTGGCGGATGCAGGAAGAGAGTGAACATAAACTGTGCACCTATGGATGAGGACAATGGGGGTGGGGAGGGGGTGGAGGGTGGGGTGGGAACCTGGTGGAGGGGGGAAGAAATGAGGAATCTTTGTAATAATATGAACAATAAAGATTGAGTTAAAAAAAAAATTTAAAAAATAAATTTAAAAAATGCGGGCAGTAGAAAAGTGGATGCAGAATTAGGGAGGTGGAAGGAGGACAGAGGCTGAAGGAAGGATGAGGTGACTCTTCCAAATGGAAAATCGGCCTACTGTGTGTAACTAATGAACTAGAAAGAAACACACAAGCTGTTTGGCTAAGAAAAAAGCAAGCAAGCACAGGCAGCGTCATCACCTTGTTCGCACTGTGTAAGGTGTCGGCCTGAGCTGGAACATCAAAGCTCACGGCGGCCTCCCCACAACCAGGAAGAGTGGGGATAGTTTCCAGACTCTGTATCCTCCCAGGTTCAGACGAAGGAAAAGCCAATTCTGGCAAAACAGAATGCGTTCCAGAGATCTGGGGAGCCGCTGCAGGCAGCAGGGCTGCTGGGTTAATCGCTAAATTTGCCTAAAGAAGAAAAATAAAACTTACTCATATGTTTTCTTATACACAGCAGTCCATTACTATCACTGTGACACACGGCAAGAGAATCAAGTGTACATAACAAATAATACAGAGGAGAAATGCAAATCCCCCATCAAGTCAGGATTAAACAGAACAGGATACACCTGGCCCAGCACGGGGCCAAAGCAGCTGGTACAGATGCAGACACAGAAGCAGTGACCGGAGGGCAGGGAGCAGGTAACACCTGCAGCAGCTGATGACAAAAGTGAAAAACCAAGAAAGTGCACAGACGCCACAGGGTGGGCGATGAAGATTCCGGACAAGTTATAATTACTTGTATTTTCGAGATCCGAGGGGACGGCTCTTTTGTTTTAAGTGGAGCTGGACCTGGTGAGTCCTGTGTGAAATTACAGTCAGTTAAAAATCCATTTGGGGAATAGAAAGAACAGTGTCTCTTGGATTATGTTTCTGCTGTGAAGAACTCTGCGCTGGCGCTAAGCCATCGCTCTCTTAACTCCCCAATGGGAAGGGCCTTCCGATCCCTCCTGGGGCCTCACATCTCACTAGCATCACTTCCACTATACCCGTCATCCATGTAGTGACAGGCTGTCAAACTACCAGGAGTAAAGGGAGACAGATCATGAATATGATGCATGAGAACCAGAGCATCCAAACCTGACCAGTTGGTAAAATTACGTGCTAGTTATCCCCCACAAAGATGACACAGCACACAGACAGCACCCACAGCCTGAGGCGCTGCTTCTGGGAGCAAAAGAGGCTGAGACCTGGGAGGAGGCACTGGAGCTGTGCTAGCCTTGTTTCACAGCTCAGCACGCTGAGGCCTCAGCAGACACCCAGGGACAGGGTGAGTCAGAAGCAGAACTCCCCGTTCAGTCCTGGCCTCTTCCCAGGAGGCCCCCCACAGGGAAGATGGCCGAGACCTCACAGGAGGTAGCATGGGGGGGAACCAAGAAACTGGATGCAGCATATATTTTATTCAAATGCAATTCTACTCTAAGGTAGTCCAAAGGGAGAAATGGGGGTCCTTCTGAGGAAAAGATTCTTCACCCCACCTTAACTCCATCTTAGACTAGAATCTACAAAAAGAACAATGGTAAGTATGGGTTCATAGACTGGACTATGGTATGAAGAGAGAGATGAGCAAGGATGAAAAAATACAATAAAGAAAGAGCAGTGGTCTTAGGTGCTACTTCCTCCCTAAGTAAGAGCACTCGGCACTCCTTGGCTCAGTGGAATGAAGTCCATCTGGACTGGGATGCAAACAAGAGCTCCATGTCCTTAAAGCGATCGGTTCTAACCTGAGCGGTTTCCGGTTTCCACAGTTTTTTTTCTTTGATACCTTGAGTGGATTCAGGATGTTTCTGATTCTTGAAAGAGGAAACAGGGTGATCTTTTTTCACTACCCTCTTCGTTTCTGATACCTTAAAATGAAAAAGAATACTAGAAGTCTGCCAAGCAGCTTAGTCATTTGAAAGAAAAGTCATAACGCAATAGAAAAATGTGGCTTCTTTTCTCAAATGAAAACTGAACTAACTCAAAGGTAGCATTTCAGAAACAGCATTTTAAAGACTGTGACTTTCTCAGGAGTCCTCTCTGTGATAAAAAAAAAAAAAAAAAAAAAAAAAGAGAGAGAATACTTACAATGCATCTACTGGGACAGAGGCAAATGACAGATATAGGCTAGCACTCAGATTTAAAACTTTGTATCTAAAAAGCATGAACATTTAGTAACTGTATTGTATGCACTGACCTTTCAACAAACTTAAAAATCAAACAAATTTGTAATAAAAGAGCCTGGGTTAGTGATTTCATGTTAGCTAGGGAACAGGGGATGGGGACAACACCAACACTCTCATCAGCACTTCATTTTCATGCATTTATTACGAAGACCCACAATTCTGAGTCTTTTCTTAATCCTGTAACTAGGCATTCATTCCCTTTCCCAGAAGCTCACCGCACACCCCGGTATTGAGAACAAGAGGCTGGTACCAGAGGCTGGGACTTGGCAGAACTAAAAAGGTCGTCATCTTCATCATCCCCGAAGAGGCTCCCAACACTTGGCTCTGACAACTAGAACAGACGAAACTCAAATTCAATGTCCAAACCAAACAGCTCAGAGAGAGCTGGGTGAGCCGCTGAGATAGTACCCCATACAATACCACAGCCATGGAGAGCAGAACCAGCTGGCACTGACCCTGGTACTCTTGGTGCCGGAGAAGAGATCCACATCAGGGTCGTTGTCCTTCTGCAGCTTGTGGCTGAAAAGCAGCTCTTCATCCTGGAAGACGCCTGTGCTCTTGGGGTGGGCAGCAGGGTCGGGACTCTGGGGAAAGAGGGGAGAGGGTGTGTGTTTAGGCTTCTAAGAGTTTCTCTCCATGAAATCACACACAACTACAGAAATGGAACAACAAAGATACCTCCTGTGGGTTTGTTTACAATAGCTAAAGGCTGAACACAGCCTCAGTGTCAATCAAAAAGGGAATGACAATTCACATAATGGAATACTACTCAGCTACCAAAAATAGTTGAGAATATGTAAATACAGATAACAGATACGTAATCTGTAAAGATCCTCTTTCAACTTTTGTGTAGTATCTGAACTTCTTGCATAAAAAAACAATCTATTAGTTCCATAATGAGAAAAGTTTTAGGGGGGAAAACACAAAAATTAAATAAGTTCTCTCCATCTCATTGCCAAAGGGAAGAAGAGACAACAGCTTACTTAAAACCAGAAACCACACAGAGTGGTCAAGTACATACACCTAACCTGTGAGTATCTTAGTCCAAAGTCCTGGCACAGGTATAACCAGCCAACCTGCCCCTATTTATGCCCATCCACCTCCTAGCCCACCGCCTACAGACTCCAAACAAGTTCTTTTTGTTTGCTGGGATGTCTGGCATTGAAAGTTACTATGTATATTATTTGATTTGCCATTATAATGCCCCAGATTCTAAAATCCTCCCTATTTTTTTTTTACTATCACATCCACAAATTAAAAAAACAAAACAACTCACTCCTGACAAAATTGTCACATGAGCCGAAGCCGGTCTAACTCAGTGGTAGAGCATCGGTCTGTGGACTGAAAGGTCCCAGGTTTGATTCCGGTCAAGGGCATGTACATTGGTTGCGGGCATATCCCCGGTAGGGGGTGTGCAAGAGGCAGCTGGTCAATGTTTCTCTCTCATCGATGTTTCTATCTATCTCTCTTCCTTCCTCTCTGTAAAAAATCAATAAAATACAAAATTGTCACATGAAAAATTAACTAATAAGGCCTGCCTGGTTTGATCAGTGGTTAGAGCACTGGCCTATAGACTACAGGGACCGGATTCAATTCCAGGTCAGGGGCATATTCCTGGGTTGTAGGCCAGACCCTGGCCTGGGTCAGGGCGTATACAGGAGGCAACGAATCAATGTATTTCTCTCACATCGATTTTCTCTTTCTCACTTCATCCTCCCTCTCTTCCACACTCTCTAAAAATCAATGGAAACAAAAAATATAACCATGGGTGAGGATTAACCGCCCCAAAAGTTTTTGTTTGAATTTAGTAATTAGCCAAAACCGGTTTGGCTCAGTGATAGAGCATCGGTCTGCAGACTGAAAGGTCCCAGGTTCAATTCCGGTCAAGGGCATGTACCTTGGTTGCGGGCACATCCCCAGTAGGGGGTGTGAAAGAGGCAGCTGGTCGATGTTTCTCATCGACATTTCTAGCTCTATTTCTCTGTAAAAAATCAATAAAATATATTTTTTTAAATAAAATAAAATAAAGTTAGTAATTATTATTATTGACTACACATAAAACCTGTGTAACACAGAAATTAAGGCTACAATTTTCATAACTTAAAAAAAATCACAGTCCAAAATCAGAGACTAGAAATATGGTGCCCTACCCGGTTAGGCTCAGTGGATAGAGCATCGGCCCTCAGACTGAAGGGTCCCGGGTTCGATTCAAGTCAAGGGCATGTACCTTGGTTGCTGGTTTCATCCTGTCTCTTGTCTGGGGCCGTGTGGGAGACAACCAATCGAAGTGTCTCTCACATCCATGTTTCTCTCTCCCCTTTACTTCCACTCTCTCTAAAAAATCAATGGGAAAATATTCTTAGGTAAGAAAAATCAATAAAATATTTTAAAAATATATAGAAGTACTGGTGAGGATGTGGAAAAACTGGAACCCTCAATTCTTCAGCAACTCACATGACAGGCTTGATACCATGAAATAAGGTTCTTATATCCTTCCAAAGCCTTGAGCCTTTGCTGCTTCTGCTCACCTTCCCTACTTCTTTCTTTAGAGACTGGATGCCACAATGATCTTCTGGTTTATCCTCTTCCTCATCAAATAAGCTAAGAACAGTTTTGGTTCTACTTTTGGTTCCTTTGTCCTGGGACGATGAAGAAAATAAATCAGAATGCGTGACTGCTTCCTGAGTAGATAGACTCAAAGGCCCTTCCTGAAAAATGGAAACAATAAGGAAAAATATAAGTAAGACTTGGAAATGCAAATTCTATTCTGGGCCTTCCCAGCCACACTGACATGTTCCAGGGCACTGCAGCTCATCACATCAATTCTCAACCAGCTACTCCAATGAAGAGTCTTGTGCAGATAATTTATAGCCAAAGGTAATTTTTTCAATGATTTAAAAACCCAGGTTCCTCATTCCTACCAAGAGATATATGCCAATTATTACTCTGATCCACATAGGTTGCTCAAGAGCTATTAATAACTTCTAAATCATAAAGCTAACACAAACACCAACCATTAGGAGTGGATCATGTATTTCCTAATATTTAACTAACACACAAATCTCAAGGAGAAACCTAACTGACAAAATTAGACAGTTAAATTATAGAAGACTCACATTGTGTGCAATTAGAAGAATCTCTAAAAGAATGCTAAAATCAAGCATTTATTCTTTCATTCAACAAGTACCACATTTCAGGTAAGTTCCTGTTGGTCCTAAGAACCATTATGACTATATGAACATGCCTTTTATGGTGCATCCTAGTTTCAGAGTGGTTCAACTGTAAAAGATTATGCTTCTTTGAAGAAATGTGTAATTTGTAAAGTGACTACTATGTGCAAGGTAATACGCTAAGTACTGCAGATATAATGGTGAACAAAACAAACCTGGCCCCAATACCCAAGGAGTTCATATGCAAGCAAGGGGACAGCAGTAAACAAGCAGTTAGAGCTGAAGTGTGGAGTGGGCTGTGACTAGAGTAGCTCAGGGGCTGCGGGTCAGAGAGGGCCCCACGGAAACCACAGGAAGGGAAGTTAACGGATGACGCGAGTCCTGATGCAGCCCCAGGAGCCTCCAAAGGAAACGTGTACGTGACGTTCCTCACACAGGCCCTAGAAGGAAGACTAGATCTATGAGTTGAACACAAAGAGGATAGGAAAGTTAGAAAAAAGGGAAAGGCACACAGAGACTGCTGGCAACTGCAGATTTCCAGCTACAGCCAGCAGCCTATCCACAGGCCTCTCCTGCAGGAAATGACAGATCCAGAAAAAGGAAGCTCATGTTTTGGAAGAAAAACAAATTTCACTTTAATTCACAACCAACATAAATTTAATGGGAAAAAAGAAAGAGTAAACTAAAACCTCCTTAAGACAGTCATTTGGAGTACAGGTGGGGACTGGGAGGGAACCTGGGATAACGGAAAAGAGAACAAGTCAGAAAGGGCAGACATGCAGAGAGGAAGCCAGCATGAAACATAAGACGGGAAGAACACCCTGGAGGGAGAAAGGCAGAGTGAACGCCGGCACAGAATGACAGGGCACATGGCAACGGGCACACCCTGGGTGCATGAGTGCCTGGAGGAGTCCGAAAGCCGAGCAACGGTGAAGGGCTCCTGAAGGCTGGGACCAGAGATTTGCTGCTTTATACTTTCCCGTGCTTTTTCACACTTTTGACCAATGGGCCATTTATTTTCTGTAGTAGGAAAATGTAAGGGCGTTGAGAGTGTGTGCGTGTGTGTGTGTGTGTGTGTGTATGTGCATGTGTGTATTACAAGAACATAAGACAAACTATTGGAATATACAAGAAAAAAAGTCCACCTTTTCTGACTCCTCAACCATAGGAGTGCTCCCAAATTCTGACACCTCTTTGGCACTCTCAACCTTCTTGTCCACAGGCTTCTCTCCAAGTTGTACCTCCTTCTCTTCTTCATCGCTGAACAGCGAAGGTGGGACCTCAGGAACAGTCTCTTTTTTCTACCAAAAGATGAGAAAATGACATCCTCATGAAAAATAGTATCAACAGAAACACTTGGAGCAGAGCTACCATCCCACCTTGCACATCTTACTCCTCATACCTGGGGTCGGTGTGTGTGTGGGGGGGGAGGGAGGTTGAGGGGGAGTAACTGGACAAAATGACCTTTGGGTGGGCCTACAGCAGCAGGGAATCCCAAACAACTATTTGCAAAATTAACAAGAAAGCAGAGATTACAACTAGGACTGATCGGTCGGACACTTAGCATATTACACTTTAGTTATACAGGATCATTTCGAAGAGGAAGGGAGAGATAGAAACATCAATGATGAAAGAGAATCATTGATTAGCTGCCTCCTGCATGTCCCTCACTGGGGATTGAGCCTACAACCCAGGCATGTGCCCCTAACCAGGAGTTGATCCGTGACCTCCTGGTTCATAGGTCAATGCTCAACCATTGAGCAACATCAGCTGAGCAAATATATTGGTTTTAAACTTGCCTAAAGATAAGCTGACCATCTTTGACATAGTTTAATTTTCTTGATAGGTTTACAAGTCAGTCACATTTATCTTATTTAAAATATTCTAAGTTTTCTAAACAAAAAAATATTTTAAATATTGTGTCTAAAGGTGATTGTATTTCATAAATGGTAAAAGTCATGCAGATAGTTCAGCTACTTACATGTGTATCCTTGACCTTTGTCTTATTTAATAATTCTAATACTACAGGTTTTACATTTCCAGATCCTTCAAAATTCATTAGATTATTGCCCACTTATCTGGGGTACAAGTTACTATTTATAATTTTTTTTTAAAAATCCCTCAGATCTCCCGACTCTTTTAACCATGGAGCCACCAGAAGTCCTACTTAGGGCTGCGAGGACAGGATGTGAGCAACGGAAGCACCGCAGAGCCCACACCAGGACCACAGACGCTCCCCAATGCTGAACACTCTGGCAAAGCTGTGCAGCCTCACCCAGTGGGAAAGCGGTAGGAAAGAGTTCCTCATTCGTTAACTGGCATGTGTCTGGTCTGGGAGCTTTCATAGGACACGCTAACATTTATTCTATGTCTGAAAACACGAAGAATTATTTCCAGACAAAAGAGACACCATCCTCTTCTGGAGTATTCTGGGACAGGATGAGAGTGTCTTCCCCCCACCCCCCCAAATCTCACACACACACCCTCTAAACACCAAGATCTACACTGACGCCACATGGGCTGCTTGCCACGAGGAGTCCTTCTCTCCAAGCTTTGCACATACGTGCACTTCATCTGCAATACACCACTGAGCAGAGACCTCTTCCTGAAACTCCGCAATGGGCCTCCATTAGACTCAGCCTCCAGGTCAGGTTTCAGGAACTGCGTCAGGGAAGTGTCACTACTTATGTCACATCGCTTCGAGGCTACTTCCCGAACTAAGAGGCTAAGATACCGTTGTTGCAGGAGGGATGGATGTGGGAGGAGAGCCAAACAGGGAGCTTCCACTGTCAGCGTCGTCTTCAAAGAGGAGTGATGCTCTCTGGGTCTTCTTTTGGCTACACAAACAGACAAAAAGGAAATGTGATGTTTAAAAAATGCAGTGCCCTTTCTGAGCCACACCTATAGAAACCCACCTGCCACTAAATCATCTGAGCCACTTACAGAGCTTATACAACTGGAAACTAACAGGAAAAGCTGAAGGAGGGGCAGTTTGTAAACCAGCAGCCTCTGTCCCTCATCCTCACGTGCAAAGTCCAGGGGGGTTATCCTGTCCCTTTTCAACGACTTTTCCCTCAGCGCAGTGCACTGGCTGTGAGCTTTGCCAAGTCGCACACACTCAGCACTCACAAACGGAGCATCCTCTCTCACCACCCTCCAGGGCACAGGAGGAGCCAGCCTGGGAGGCCCGTTCCCAGAGTGCTCAGGAGGCACTGTCAAAAGATGGCAGGGCCAGGGCTTCCTTTGGGCTGTGACCCGAGGCCTGGTGCCCCTGCCCTCTCAACCCTGTTTTTTAAGCACTTTTCTGCCCTTCCATTCCTTCTCTTCAAACCTGAAACTCATCCTATTCCATCTCTTCCATTTCACACTCCATCACATCACCATTCACCCATCTCCCACCCGGGCTGGGCGGCGATACCGACAGCAGCCACGGCTCTCCACACACCTTCCTTAGCCCGTCTTCACCTATCTCCTCGCCTGCGGTTCTGGCCTGGCCCCTAGAGAAGGCCAAAGGTAAGTGTCTGCCAGAACAATACTGATCAGGACCTTTTAAGGATAAGAAATATAAAGATGGAACCTTAGCACTGGACACAGAGAACCCAGAATAAAAAGGGTTCCAACTGGTAAAGGGTAAGTTCCAGCTTCTACTATGTGATAAGCAACTGTCCAACTAGCATATTAGAGAATTACGTACCAAATGAGAGCTTTAAATTCAATTTTAGCTAGATAAAAATAAGTCATTTCAGTAAATTGCTCACCATTTCCATATACATACATTAGAACATAATTAGCATATACTCCAGTAAGGATATTACAATCTTGCTTAGTTATGAACAAGGTACCATCTGTGTAGTTTATTTATTAGTTTAGTATTGATGTCTGCCTACATGTTTTAAATAAAACCTAAAGATCACTGATTAGAAAACACAACTAACCAAATGGTGAGCATATGCACTTCAGTAAAGGACAGTTAAAATTAAATCCATATCTTGAAGTTTTAAAACAAAGAACCAGCTGGCCATTGTGGCCATGTTGAGCACTGACCTATGAACCAGAAGGTCTCAATTCAATTCCAGTCAGGGCACATGCCCAGGTCGTGGGCTACATCCCCAGTGGGAGGTAATACAAACCTAGGAACCAGCAACTGCTGTGACTCAGCTCAGCTCTGAGAGAACCATCCTCCTAACAGTTCAGAGCTGGCCCGATTCCTATCCAAATGACAAACTTAAGTAACAACCTTGACCAAACTACATTTTTTGGTATATCTCAGAGGAAAAACAAACTGTACTTAAACCCCTAATTAACAAAGAAAAACAATATTTTAAGGTTAACAAAATGATAGGTAGAAGAAATTAAGGATCCATCAGGAAAAAAAATTTTTTTAAATCCGCAGTATGGAAGAATACCTTGCAAGGGAAAAGCAGAGACATCCTCATTTGACTACCAGGGAACAAAGGATTAGCAGTCACCCAGCAACTGGCAGCCTGCACATTCAATACCTTACTTGTTACCACAGGCTCGTATTACATGACTTTGCACAACAACTCTCACCTGTCCTTAGCAATAGCAAACAGATCATCTTCATCGTCTTCCTCAAAGAGGCTGGTCTTTTTCACAGCCTCCTGGACCCGGCTGGGCTCGGAGTTCCTAAGTTCGCCTTTAGACCTGTCGTCAGAAGCTGAGTTGGTCTGTGAATCAGTAACATTCCACTGGTCCTTAAAATATAAAATACATATTAAAACCAGTGGCAATGGTGTCTAAGGAACCTGGGAAATAAAATTTACATTCATTAGTCTAAGTTGTATTTAAACTAAGTATTGCAGTAAGTGTATCACACCTGAAGAAAGTTCATGTCCAAGACTTTTCCTTGAATGCCAATCTAGACAGCTGGGGTCTTTGACTTCACAGACCTGCTCATGCCCTCCTCCTCTCCTGCCTGCCATGATGCTTCTCCTCTCTAAGGTTCTGCTCTGTGTTGGGAAAGGAACACTTTAGAGGACCAACATTAATTAAAGAGGAGGATGAAGAGGAATGCTAAAAAATAAATCAAGAACTCTTAACTTTGGCCCTAGCTGGTTTTGCTCAGAGCATTGGCCTACAGATTGAAGAGTCCCTGGTTCAATCAAGGGCACATGCCCAGGTTGTGGGCTCAATCCCAAGTAAGGGGCGTGTAGGAGAAGGCCAATCAATGATTCTCTCTCATTACTGATGTTTCGATCTCTCTCTCCCTTCCCCTTCCTTTGTGAAATCTATAAAAATATATTTTAAAAAAGAACTCTCAACATTGGAGAAAAATGTTTCAATTTACAAGTCCCGAAGCAGGCTAGGAAAAAAAATGTGTACGCAGCTCATGTTATGCACATGAAAACACAACACAATGAGAGCTACGAAGGACTCTTTATCCCCAACAGTCTCCCGGTGGACTCGGCATTTAAGGAGACCTCACCTGGCTACGCTCACCCTTCAGACCACAGAGCTCTTCTGACTTGCTTAAGTGGTCCTTTGATCTCTAGAGCCTAGAGCTTCGAGAAGTAAAGTGGGGTCCACAGCCAGTAGCATCTGTTACTTAGAATCTCAGGTTCCACCCCCGACTCTGTGACTTAGACCCGCACTCATAACAGATGCCCAGGGAACTGCTTCACATGTTATGGTTTGAGACATGTTCCTCTAGAGCAGTGGCTACAAGCTAGACTCCCTGACAGAGCTTTAGAAAATTCCAGTAACCTCTACACCTCCAAACCAATTAGGTCAGAATCTAGAATCTAGAGTTCCCCGAAGATTCCTACGGGCAGGTACTGTTGAGTACCACTGTTCTATTATAGAACACTGGTTATCTTTACTCTGCAAGTAATATTGCTCCCAATCTTAGCTAATATTTTCATTTTCCACTGTGGTAAATTCCACTAATGTTTGGCCATTACTACAGGGAAACAACTAACAATGCAAAAAAAAAAAAAAAAAAAAAAAAAAAAAAAAAAAAAAAAAAAAAAATCCATCATAAACTCTTACGTTTGAGTAGAAAAAGCAAATTATGTTGTGTCAACTTTAAGTTGCTTTCAATAAAAACAATAACATCTATGATTCAGCTATCTACATCAGACCCTAACTTGCCTATGTTAAAATAAAGAAGAGCAATTATTATAATACAGAAAGATTTTTAATGCTCAGGGGTTCTAATCCTATATAATAAAAGGCTAATATGCAAACAGACTGAACGGGGGAACAACTGGTCGCTATGAAGTTTGCTGACCACCAGGGGGTGCGCAGGAAACATGGTGGGCATCATCTGTGATGGGATGGTGGAGGTGAGCAGGGGCGCCAGACCAAGGTGGGGCGCCAACTGCTGTCATCGGGTTGAGCTCTGATGGTTACTGAAAATTCTTCGCTCCTGCCCGGCACTTGCGCCTGCTGCTGGCCCTGGCACCACCCCAATCTCTTGGTGCCATCAGCAGGTGCAAGGGGCAGCTGCTGGTCCTGATAGCCCCTGAGGGCTTCTCTACCTCCCCCAGCTTGTGAAGGATGATCAGGGCAGCAGCTGCCACTCGCACCTGCTGCTGGCACCGGCCCCAATCACTCTGTGCCATCAGTGGGTGCAAGTGGGGCTGGCGCCATCAGTGCATAGAAGCAGCGGTGGCGGAAGCAGGGCTGCCAGCAGACCAGGGACCATAGGCCACAGAGGGAGGGTCTGGGGGGGAAGGGGACGCACAGAGGATGGACTGAGACCCACCCCTTTGCTTACCGCAGCCTTGCGACCCACAGTTCCTTTCAAGGGCACGAATTCATGCACTGGTCCCCTAGTATCATTATATTTAAAGTCTTTTTCTGTCCTGCTAAATCTGAACAGAGGCTAAACAATATTCACTACTGGTTTTGCTAATATGTATCTAGGTAGTGAATGGAAATGTTGTTAAGACTAATAAAAAAGGAGTTAAACTTGCATAGGATGTTCTTACCATGTCTAGATGCATGTTCTTGATTAATGAAACATAGGGATCATGTAATAAGATAAGGCCTCACACATTTGAATTAGCATTATTATTATTTGAGGGCCATACTTACTTTATTTCTAACCCTTTTTAAAAAGATGCCCTTTAGTTTAATATATTGGACTAAATATCTTTCTTCAAGTGCTGTGAACAGTCTCTCGTGGCTGAACTTCCCTAGACGTAAAGCAGGTGGAGAAAGAAAACGCTCAAGACAGCCCAACTCTTACTCCTGCATCGCCCTCTCCTGTGGTGTGACTTCTCACCCACCTCCTCGTCGCTGCTGAACAGCAAAGCAGACGCTTTCTTTTTGGGGGGCTCAGAGAGTTTTGCTTTCTCTTGGCTCAGAGTTGGTAGAGATGATGCTTGCTTCTTGGCAACTGTAGCCCCAAAAAGATCCTAGATAAACAAATGGCAGAAGAGTATGACAATTTTATACATGTAAAACAAAAAGCTTATGATATTCTCATGTCAAATTGTTAGAGAATAAATCTCTGGTCAGGTACCAAATAAACATCCTCCACAAAAATGTCACAAAAGAGACACTTTGGGTGGGGGAATCACAAAATTCTAGTAAGCCCCACTTGTCTCACATATAAGCCTACAACCAGTCTGTAATAGTCTCTCAGTTACTCTCCATCCACAAAGGGAAACATTCCACGGAACCCTAGGCGGACACCTGGGAGGGGGCCTTAGAGGGAGTGGCGGGAGGCAAGATCACAAACAGGAGGACACGTGGCCAGTCCCAGCAGGTAGGCCCTCTGGCTTCTGAGGCGGCCATGGCCGCACCTGCCGGGAGAGCAGGACAGTGCCTGACAGCGAGCAATTTGCACCTTTCAAGTTACAAACTGGAGCAATGGATAAAAGCAGAGAAACACGGAGCTTTCTCCACTCTTTTACACACACCTGGGACAGAAGGAACGAACGACTGGGGTTTCTGGTTAATTTTAAAGAGATACTACAAACCTAAGAAGTAGTTTACTAAATAAAACCACTGACCCACAAAGAGCTGACTCAGATTCAAAGGCTCTTGATCTACTGACAGAACCCCTGGCCATAAAGCTTCATCAGGAACAGTTTCCTAATAATAAAAAAACTTGATTATTTTGTGTTGCAACGTTTACCTCTTCATCTTCATCATCAAAGAGCGAGACTGACGTGGGGAGTTTGGTCGGCAGGAGAGATGCATCTTTTGACTTGCTCACGTTTTGAGAAGAAAACAAGTCCTGTTGGATCAAGATTAAAGTTCCCGCTAAACAAGTGGATAGTTTGAAAGCACTGGTTACATATGAAACACGAAGGACGATGCCCCCGCGGCTGCAGCGGTCCCGGCCTTTGTCAGACAGGAGCTCACTGAGCCTGTCCTGGAGGAACACGCGTCCGAGTCTGCCCCGCCCCGCACGCAGCACGAACGCCTGGCTGCGAAGAGGAAGAGGCCACGCAACTCCAGGCGCCTCGCTGGGCCAGGGTTTGGGGGAACCCCACTCGCTTTGGCTTGGCCTCCTACAGGGACAACTTTAGGCAAAGGGAAAGTTCCCATCGATCTCCTGTCATGCTAAAAGTAAGAATGACTTCCTTTTTCTGTCCAAAGAGTCAGATGGACTGAACAGATTCCATAATGGGAACAGAAGCCAGGTTCCAAATTACTGTATCTATGACTGTTTTATTTAGTAACAAATAAGAGCCTAATATTTGCTACTCTAATAAACGTATATTATTATTTAAGTATGTATTCAATTTTTATTTTTAAATGTTTGGTATTCTATTTGAACTATTGTATATGTTGCAAACTATTAAAAAATCTGATAGATTTGGATAAAATTTCAAAATGTTAACCTGTAACGCAGAGAAAGTTCTGAGCTGCATGAATTTAACATAAAACAGAACAACTGTTCCTTCGAGAAGAAACTTCAATACACAAGGGGCCAATTAAATGGGACCTTTCCAGCCAGGCTTCCCATTGTGGAATCAGCGTGCACTCTTCCGATACAGGCCCGAGAGCTCGCTAACTGAGAAGAGCGCGGCTCCGTCAGTTCTCGCCGGGCCCCGGCGACCCCCAGCCTGCTGGGGAGAAGCGGCCTCACAGGATGAGCTCGGGCCTCCTATCCTCTGACACACTGGCAGCATTCACTAAGGAAAGGGCTCTGTTGCTTTTGAAATAAACCAAAACAAAAAACAAAAGCAAATTTCAACATCCTGGCTTTGGGCCCTTGACTAACATCTTCCTCGGGGTTGGACAAAGCGTTTTCCCATTTCCTCCCACACTTGGGCGAGCGCAGGAGTAAAGACTCCAGCTGAGACAGAAGCAGGAGTAAAGACTCCACCTCTCTGGTCCAAGGCCCCACCTTCTGTTTTACTTCTCCGTCTCACACCCTGGCAGGATCCAGGAAAAACAATCTACGATGCTGCACATGGACACAGAGTTCAGTGGTGGTTTTAAAAACCTGCCTGGCCCTAGCCGGTTTGGCTCAGGGGATAGAGCATCACCATGTGATCTGAAGGGTCCCGGGTTCAATTCCAGACAAGGGCATATGCCTTGTGGGGAGGGTGCGGGGAGCAGCTGATCAATGATTCTCTCTCATCATTGATGTTTCCATCTCTCTCTCTCTCTCCCTTCCTCTCTGAAATCAATAAAAATATATTAAAAAATTAAATAAAACTAAAAACTGTCTGGCTCTGGTTGATGGCTCAGTTGGTTGCAGTGCTGTCCCATACACCAAAAAGGTTGTGGGTTTGATTCCCAGTCAGGACACATACCTAAGTTGAAGATCCCTAGTCGGGATTTATAAGAGATTAATTTCAAAGAAAGATCTAAGGAATATAATAAAAAGTCTTGTACCTCTCCTGAGAAAACTGATTCAGAAATAGTTTCAAATGTGATATCCACTGACTAATTCCCAGAACTAAAAATAATTCCTTACCTCAGTGTCTTCCTCATCTGAAAATAAACCTTTTTGAGTCTTTGTTTCTGACGAGAGTTTAAGGTTTTTGTTGGAAGGCAGGGTAACCTTTGTTGGGGGAAAAAAGTTGAGAGTTAACAAACAAGATGCCTGAAAATGAGAGTGTATTCCATCATTCATTCAGAAAATGTATCATTCATTCAGAAAATGTACCGAGTCTCCGCTAGAATAAAGCAGCTTGGGATTTATACCAAGTTCATACAAACAATTAACTCAAAATGAGAAGTGTCATGAGAAAGAATTTCCAAACTGGTTAAGTTAGGAAAGAGGAAAGAAACAATTCCTTGATAAACTAAATTTCTCAGGATAGACAAGGCCTAGACATGGGATATGTCTACTACCCTGTTTCCCAAAAATAAGACAGTGTCTTATATTCATTTTTTCTCCCAAAGTTACGATAGGTCTTATTTTCAGGGGATGTCTCATCTTTCCATGCACTAGGTCTTATTTTTGGAGGATGTCTTATTTTCGGGAAAACACGGTAGTAGGCACAGCAAGGACATTCCCGGCAGAGTCCATGTGAGAGAAGCAGCGGGCACAGCTGGAGGATCGGAGAGGAGGCTGCCCACCTCACAAGCACACATGGACGGGCATCGCTGGAGCCAGCTTAGGAAGGGCCGCCCTTGGAGCATGCCAGGTTCTGAATGCTGGGACCTCGGTGGTCGCCAGGGGGAAGGTCAGGCTTTCACAGCAAAGACATGGCACGGGATTGCTTTAGAGAAGTCATGGAGTGCAGAACAGCAAAGGGAAGGGGAAGCAGCCAGAGGAGCTTAAAGACTGTGAGGGATGCATCCCACTGGCCAAACATAAGTCAATAATATAACATATGAGCATCAAAAACAGCTATAATGCTCATAGATTATAATACACCCACGGTCCTATAGTGATACTAAAAAAGCAGGAAAGAAGGAGAAAATGCTCTTCTCTTCAGAAGAATGCCAGCTAACAAAAGTAGGAGAAATGCAAGAATTAGAAAAACATTATTTTGTAGCCCCTAACATGACTGGTTCAGGTAAAAGATCATTAGTGTAGCCTTGGCTGGTATGCTCAGTGGTTAGTGTCAACCCATGCACCAAAGGGTTGAGGTTTGATTTCCAATCAAGGGTAGGTAATTAGGTTGCAGGTTCGATGCCGGCCCCAGCCAGGCATGTGCAGGAGGTAACCAATCCATGTGTCTCATCGATGTTTCTCTTTCTTCCCTTTCTTCCCTCCCTTCCACTTTCTCTAAAACTCAGTGGAAAAAATATCCTTGGGTGAGGATTTAAGTCCTATCCAATAAAAGGGTAATATGCAAATTACCCATCACTCTGTCACAAAGATGGTGATGCCCATAGCCACAAGATGGCGGCCTCCAGTCCTCCCAGCCCGCTGGGGTGAAGAGGAAGGGCGGCTGCCTGGCGGAATGCTTGCTTCATTGCCGCGGTGACAAGGCAAGCATTCTGCTCCTGGCCACAGATGGGCCTCTGGGCCGCAGAGACACTCTGGGCAACAGGCATGGAGCGGCCAGGCCCTGCAGAGAGCTACTGGCGCATGGATTCGTGCACAGGGCTACTCGTAAAAAAGCAAAAAAGATCAATTGATGTCAAAACAACTGGTAAGTGAAAATCCTAACAACTGCTGAATCTTGGTGACAGGTCTTTGGGTATTCAGTGTACTCTTTCTGAAGTTCACTGTAAACGTGAAAGAAATAATGCTTCCCCTCTGGGTCCCATATGAATTAACAAGATGTCCCAAATCAACACTGCTATGTTCAGCCTTCCCTCTTGCTCACCTTTTCTTCCACTCTTGCTTTATTTTCATCTGTCTGATTCACAGTAGCTTCTGGCAAACTCACTGCTTGCTCCTTGAACAGATCTCCTTCCTCCTCATCAAAGATGTTGGCAGTGGATTTGATTTTGTCTTTAAAATATATCACAGCACAAAATTACAGTAAGGTAAAATATCCCACCACAAAATTCACAGATTAAAAATTTTTCCCTCACAAAGAATACATTTAGGAAGTATGTTATTTTTTTATTATGAAGAAATATTAAGAGGACTAGATTGAAATTTTTCAAAAAACAGAACAGCAGCTCAAATGAAACACAGGACAGACAGTTTAACCATGTGGTTTACACACTGATCCAAGCAACAGCAGCCAATGCTTACTTATAGTAGCTTGGACTGACATAAAAGGTAAAGAGAGACCTACAGAAAGATCATTTAAAAGTCAATCACTCTAGTCCTGGACAGTGTGGCTCAGTTGGCTGAGTGTCGTCCCATGCACCGAAAGGTTGCTTGTTTAAATTCTGGTCAGGGCACATGCCTGGGTGGCGGGCTTGATCCCTAGTAGGGTATGTGCAGGAGGCAGCCGACACATGTTTCTCTCTCCCTCTCCCTCTCCCTCTCTCTATAAAACCAATAAAAACATTTTTTTAAATTCCCCTATTAAAAAAAAAGTCAATCACTCTAGGAAGCTGAGAAATGAAGGTTAGCTCTTGCTTTTAAAAAATCAAATTATATAAAAGCGAATACTGAAGTCTTCCCCATAACTCTACCTTCCCACCCAAACACAACAGCCATTGGAAGTAGGGTATATTATGCTTCTATTTCTCGCAAAGGAAATACTAATGTATTAACTCTAGGCATTCACAAATGAGGCTAAAAATGATAGCATAATTTGAACAACACAGCTTACAACTTGCATTTTTCAATTAACGCTCTTTGAGTATCTTTCCTTGTCAACATACATAGACCGCATTCATTTTAGCAGGTACATGAAACTCCACTGAACGGAAGGACCATATTCACCCTACTGATGAGTATTCGGGTGGTTTCCAGCCTCACTCCCACAAGCTCTGCTGCGCTGAATGAGCTGCGTGTGGCTGAATTGAGGGCACTGACTCACCAATGGTCCAGGACAGCAGCAGCTGACCAAGAAAGGGGCATCAACTTATTGGTGATTCCACATCAGTTCTCAATAACATCCATACAGCAAGAATGTCAAACTCAAAGCCCAGCCAATATAGCAGTATGTAAGAAACATTTTAATAAAAATTTCCTAACTTAATTTTTACAATATTCTGTTATACAGAATTAATAATAAACTACAACGTTCGCTAATGACTGATTACTATAATCGTATTGCATTCATTTCCCTTATGCGCCTTACATGTAGGCACATCATTTCTCTCCGCTAATACTAGCAGTGAATATTTTAGCAGCCAATTGCCACATCATCAGTCTTATACTGACTTGTTTGATGTGTGCAACAGGAAGTAATTCGCTTTCGGAGAACAAGAAAAATAGGTTTATTTGCATTACGCTTATTAATTTGTGCAGTTATTCAGTGTCTGGTAAGTTAATGTTCAAGAAAAAATATTAATTTTTATTAAAATGTTCTATTATTTTATATTAATAATTACTCATTTATTTCAGCCCTTTGTATTCATCATGTCTCTATAGAAATAAACCTATGTTTCTATGAAAATTGAAGCTTTTGTTTCCTTGCGGCCACATAGACTCAAACCTTGTTTATTTGGCCCATGTGAGCCTTAAGTTTGACGTGCTTGCTGTACAGTGAGAGACCGCCATGGCACGAGGAACTACTGCCTGCATTCACTGCATTTCAGGTGGCCTCGATCTTTCTATAATAAAAAAGAATTATTTCTCCTTTCTGCTTCTACTCTTACCTTCCACACCTCCCACTGAAAAGAGAGTTAGAGCAACTCATAGACCAGCCATCTCTGTGCACCAGGGAGCTGCTTAGAAATGCAGAAACGCAAACCCCATCCCACAACCCTGAATCAGAACCTGCATTATGATGACACACTCAGATCACCTGCACGTTAAAGGCCCGATTTAGAGGAATGATTTCATGAACATGCGGCTTAAATTGGAGGGGAGAAGACAGGAAGAGAGCTGCAGTGGCCACGGGGCTGGAGACCCTGTCATACAGGAAAAGTCAAGGTTACGCGGGCTTTTGGGAGCAAAGGGAGAAGCTGGGAAATAAGCGGCTAGCTTGGCATTCTGTTCAGAGTTTACTAAGGACTGCTGAAGAAAGTGTGATTCCGAAGGTGAGGACTAAAATTCTAAGGAAGATTCCTAGCACGTAGTTTTCAAAGTAGAAAAGATTGGTTCATAAAATAGAGACCTCCAAGGCTGTAACCACAAAAGCAGAGATGAAACAACTCTCCGACAGGATTGCTGGGGAGGGGTTCTGATCCTACAAGAACTAGAACTATGAACTGGAGGAGCTTCATGCTTTTTTAGGTCAATATTATTTTCCTGGCAAAATCCAGAAACAGGCTGGAACAAGCACCTGTCTTGGCGGGTTTGCTACAGGACGCTGCAAAAAAGTCATCGTCGTCGTCCTCATCAAAGAGGCCAGTGGCTGGGAGGTTCAGGCGCTTCCCCGGAGCGGGCTGCTTGGGCTCCTGCGGTGGCGGAGCAGACGCTGCACCCAACACGTCGGTGTCCCCTGTGGGAGAAACAGGAAAGCCGCTGTGAGGCAGTGTGGGCGGGCCTTCTAACCCTCCAGAAAACCACCCTCCACCACCAAGACCTTTTCGTTTCAGTGCACCCGCTAAATGCAGGAGCAGGACCCAATAACTTCCATCCTTTTCTGCAACGGATGTCCCATAATGCAGAACCACCCGGTCACTCAAACATAAACAGATCCAGGATCACTGACTTCTAAGAGGATAGGAGCGAGGCCCCATGAATGAGCTCTTTCTGTGAGCAGCTCCACGCTCCTGAAGCTCCTCCCATTCCCAGCCTGCCCTCAGAAAACGGCAATTTTAAACGTGACAAAATAATTCTTAAGTCATTTCTAAAAAACAAACCCTACAATGATACCTAAAAATACAGAAACTGCTCCAGCTGGAATTTTCTTTCCGGGTTTGGAGGATGAAGACACTAAAATGAGAAAGAATGAGATAACCATTTAAACAAAGGAAGTAACTTTTCTTGTTAAATGCACCTTCCTAGAATATGTACAACACAATAAGTAGCTACTAGAAGGCCCATTAAAGCTAACTTTTCCAAAGAGGCATGTTAAAATTCCTTAGTATCTTCTCTACTGACGACTACGTTCCTGGTACTAACGCATTCACAGTGGTAACTGCCATGGGAATCACTGGGACTGGCAGACGGGGCTGGCTGAGAGGCCAAGGACATGCAGAGCAGTGGGGGCAGGGCAGAGCAAGCGGCTCCTCCACATGCCCTCCACCCATTCCTGTTTGTGAGCATGAACAAGGAAAAAAAGCAAAAAGTCTAGACATCAGAGAAAAAATGAAGACAGCACCAGGAACAAAGGAAAGAGGCAAGTCACCGATGCCAAAGTGGGGAGCAGGAGCGACAACAATCAAGGCAGATTCGTAGCAAGCCTCAAATCCAACAACTTGGGGCCTGAGGAGACCAAGTTACTTAAAACAACTAGCTCCCAGCCCCTAAGAACTACCACAGAGCTAAAGAATTCAGTTTGTACGTTTTAAAATGTTTTTGTGCACTTTTTAGAAAGTCCAGATTATAACGCACACTCGGCTAGGGAATTACTGATCTCAATTTCCATGTAGAATTTTAGGAATGTTTCTTTGAATTAAGTTAAAATATCCTCAATACTGAGGGAGATTCATAAAATCAAACAGGAAAATACTCAAGATAGTACTCTGTTTTTCCTAAGGCAAGAATTAGTGCAAATAAACTACTTTCAACTAGACCAGTGGTCGGCAAACTGCGGCTCGTGAGCCACATGTGGCTCGTGAGCCGAGGTTTGCCGTTCTGTTGACAAATGAGTTTGCCAACCACCGGGATAGGGGCCTAATCACAGGAACAACAGCCTGTAATTACTGGAATGGAGAGTCTAGACCAAGACAAACACAAGTTTCTTGCCTAACAAAGGCAGGTTTGGGAGCACCACCAGGCTCCCGCCTCCTAACGGAAGTGAGCAGCTTTGGAAATCTTACAAAGAAGCACAGGAGCCTCAGCCTAAGCTCACCTTCGTTAGCAGCAGCTCCAGCCTCCTGTCTCCGAGGGGATTCCACGAAGAGGTCGCTCTGGTTGTAAGAAGGATACAACAGAATTCAAAGGAGCAGTGGCATTTGAGGTTTTCTAAAGAAAAGTACCTTGTCAAGTTTAAAGATACATATATATACTGTTTTGCCAGAAAAATCAGTTCCAAAGTGAAGATCATAGCAAAATCAGACCTTAAATAAGTTAGGTCTGTCCAGGAATTAATTACAAATATGGAAGAAGAACAGAGAGATAAGCCTTAGCCGATCTGCTCAATGCCCGAGGACTGAAGGGTCCCAGGTTCCATTCTGAGCAAGGGCACATGCCAAGGCTGTGGCTCGATCCCCAGTAGGGGGCGTGCAGGAGGCAGCCAATTAATGATTCTCTTCCTTCATTGGGGTTTTTATCCCTCTATCCTCCCTTCCTCTCCGAAATCAATAAAAATATAAATAAATAAATAAATAAATAGATAGATAGATAAATAAAATATTTAAGTAAAAGGTTTTTTTAAAAGAACAGAGATAAGAAACAACTGCCGATCAAGTAAATTGTTCACTATTTACACTCTCCCATCCTCTCCCCACCTAACAAAGGGCACCAGAATAAAACCTTTCTGTTGTGGTTCTTAGTCCAAAATCTCCCCAAATATAAAAGCAGAAGCAACTTCCAACTAAGAAGCCATCTTTTCCCCTCAAGGAACCAAGTGTATTTCTTCCACGACACAGCTACAGAGAGCTTCCGATCAGCAATGACTCGCCTCCTCATCCTCATCAAAAAGCCCCTTCCCTCCGCTGAACAGGCCTCCGCGAGAGCCGAATGGTGAGAAGTCCTCGTCGGTCAGCTTGGGGGGAGTGAACAAGTTATCTTCTTCATCTGCAGACAGAAAGGAGGGTTCGCAGGGAGAGTGTAAGCTGGGGTTGGAACTCAAATTCCAGAGGTCAGCCTTTACAGCTTCTCCGCGAGTGGCATGAAGTTTATCTAGCCACATATAGCAAGGGGTACTTGAATGCCAGCATTCTGAGGAATTTTAAACAAAAGCTCATTAAACAGTCCACTAGATCCATTCCAACCTCTCTGGGTTCCCACCTCAAGTCTGTAAACCTCTGGAGCAGGTAAGTTCTGTACTTGATCCTCTTCATTTACATTTACTTCTTCTGAAGCAAGTATATCATTCAATTGCTATTCAAGACCCATCCTACCAAGAATTTGAGGGAGGGGGCAGACTACACACCAACACATTACTGTTTAATATGAAAGAGCCTCATATATTCTTTGTTTAAAAAATGGAAACCAGTTTGGCTCAGTGGTAGAGCGCCGGTCTGCGGACTGAAAGGTCCCGGGTTCGATTCCGGTCAAGGGCATGTATCGGTTGCGGGCACATCCCCGGTAGGGGGTGCGCAAGAGGCAGCTGGTCAATGTTTCTCTCTCATCGACGTTTCTAGCTCTCTATCTCTCTCCCTTCCTCTCTGTAAAAAATCAATAAAATTTATATTTAAAAAAAAAGCTAGACTTCCCTCGTTTTTTATACTTCTAGAGAATTCTAGAAAGACGGCTACAAATTCTAGCAAAACCAATCTTCACAGCATTTTTCCTCCCCACCCATCTCTCCTCCAAAAGCATGCTTTTGCATGCTCTAAAAACACGAATGGAGAGACAGACCACATTTGCTAAGCATTTCAAGTGCACTTCATGAATTATGTGACATTCCTGAGTTAAGAAAAACCTTTAAAAAACCAGAATTGGGTGATATTAGAAAATGGCAGCATGAGAGGTCTCCTTAATCTCTCCCCTTAGAGTTCCAACAATTTGACCAGCCATAATTCAGCAAAGGATTCCTTGTTCAACACACAAATGCATCTGAGAGATCATGGATTAAAACTTCTAAAGGTGGGCAAATGGGAGAAATCAAGAAGGTGGGAAGAGAGCTAAGGTGATGCCAAAGACACAGCCCAGAGCTCACAGCCCTGAGGCCTCCGTAGGACTCAGCCCAAAAAGAGGAAGAAGAATCAGGTTGCCACTGGCACTCCCTTCAGCCAGGAGGGGCAGACACGGTGAGCTCTCCGCAGGAGTGGTCTTTAGGAACTGCAGCTGAACACAGTGGCCTGGCAGGAGTGAAGCACCGAGGCTGTCCTGGCTGGCTGGCAATCGGCATTCAAGGTAAGAAACCTAGCCGTGGAGCCTGGCTGCCTCCCTTTGCCCTCCCAGAGCTGGCAGCAGGCCCAGAAGAAGCTGTAGAATGAGTGTCTGGCTGTAGAGAACACTGTCTGCAAACCAGTGAACCTGGACTACAGAAACATGTTTCCCCTTAGCAACAGGTACACTCTGCGACTCACCCATTGTCAGGTGCAGATACACAGGGGGGCTGCTGAGTCTGCCAGCCACCATTACAAGACAGCAAAGCAACAAGGGGAACAGCAGCTTCCCTAGCTCACCCTACCCCACCCATCGCAGCTGCACTGCTGGCAGCGTCTGGGGACAGGGTACAGCACTGGGATTTCACCCACCATATTCCTTCATGGGATTGGTCCCCTGAGACCCAGGCAATCTGAACACAGATGACACCCACCTTCCCAGGAAACACAGGACATTTTCCACCACCCCAAGGAAGCCCACCTGGTGCACGTATTTGGGCACCAGACCTTTAGTAAATTATATTTAAAAAAACCATAGGTACTAAACTTCTGGACCTTGGTTATAAAGAAGATGATATAAATTTATCCCCAAAGGCAAAGGAAATAAAGGCAAAAACCTTCTGTACAGCAAAAAAAACTGTTAACCAAACAAAAAGATAACCAAGTGGGAGAAGTTATTTACAAATAGCAGCTCTGACAAGAAGTCAATATCCAAAATACAGGCATAGGCAAAATTAGGTTTACAGTTGTAAGCAATTTATTCTTGCATTACTTATTAATTGCTGTATTATTTTCTATATGAACAACTATAAGACTTTTTCCCATCCCTGTATATAAAAAAACTCATAAAATTCAACACTAAACAAACAGACAAGCCAATTATAAAACAAGGCAGAGGATAGCCAACAGGTTAATTAAAAAAATGTTCAACCTCTTTAGCTATTAGGGAAATGCATATCAAAATTATGAAAGCTCTGGCTAATTGGCTCAGTGGTTAGAGTGTTGGCCTGCAGACCAAAGCATGTTGAGTTCAATTCACAGTCAAGGGCATGTACCTTGGTTGCAGGTTCAATACCCAGTCCTGGTTGGGGCACCAGAGGGAGGCAACCAGTCAATGTGTCTCTCTCACAACACTGTCTGTCTGTCTGTCTGTCTGCCTGTCTCTCTCTCTCCCCATCTCCTCCTCCTCCTCTCTCCCTCTCTTTCACTCTCTCAAAAAAACAATGGAAAAAAAAAATCCTTAGGTGAGGATTTTACTTTTTTTAAAATACATTTTATTGATTTTTTTACAGAGAGGAAGGGCGAGGGATAGAGAATTAGAAACATTGATGAAAGAGAAACATCGATCAGCTGCCTCCTGCACACTCCCTAGTGTGGATGTGCCTACAACCAAGGCACATGCCCTTGACTGGAATCGAACCTGGTACCCTTGAGTCTGCAGGCCGACGCTCTATCCACCGAGCCAAACCAGTTAGGGCCTCATGTGAGGATTTTAAAAAACACACTACAATGAGATACTATTTCACACCTGGTAGAATGGCTATTATCAACAAGACAAGTAATAACAAGTACTGGAGAGGTTGTGGGGAAAAAAAAAAAGGAATGCTCATTGAGTGCCGGTGGGAATGCACACTGCCACAGCCATTCTGAAAAGCAATGTGGAGGCTCCTCAAAAAGTTAAGAATAGTGTTACCATATGACCCAGCAGCCCCTCTTCTGAGTATCTACCAGAAAAACTTGAAAACATCCTATCCTATACAATAAAGAGCTAACCTGCAAATTGTCCCCTAGACTGGGAGTTCAACCAGGGGGCAGGGCCAGCCTGCCAACTGGCCCCTCCCCATGGCCAGCCCCATTTCTGATTGCACCCTCCCCCCTGATAGGGGGTGGGACTGGCCAGCCAACCCCACATGTCCCCTCCCACCAGCTGGCCAGACCCCATCTATGCACAAATTCGTGCATCAAGCCTCCAGTTAATTCATAAAGATACATGTACTCCTATATCCAATGTAACATTATCCATGGTGGCCAAGAAATGGAAACAACTGAAGTGTTCTTCGACAGACAACTGGATGTGTTACGTATGTGTTACGTATATATTATTCAGCCATAAGAAAAGGTGAAATATTGCCATTTGCAACAACATGGATGAATCTTGAAAATATCATGCTAAGCAAAGCAAGTCACAGAAAAGTTAAGAACCGTATGATTTCACTCATATGTAAGATATAAAACTAAAAGCAACAAATGAACAAAAAAAACCCCAAAACTCATCGACAGACAACAATATGGTGGCTACCGCAGGAAAGGGGGTTGAGGGTAGAAAGGTAAAGGGAGTCATATATATGGTGATGGAGATGTGACTTTGGGTGGTGAACACACAACGCAATATTACAGATAATGCATCATAAGATTATACACTTGAGACCTGTATAACCTTCTTAACCAATTTCATCGCAATAAATTTAATTCAAAAAGATAAAATAAAGAGGACCCTGGAAAGCCACATGCAAAAAATAAATGAATTGAGAGAAAAGGCCTACCATCTGAGGGAGTTCTTCTTTCCTTCTTCTCTTTCAGTGTCTTGTGAGGTTTTGCTTCTGTAGATAATGAAGAATATGTCACAGTTTTAACCACACTCCATTTATGCTTAGTATCTACCTATTGATTTTGTACACATGTATCTGTCATCCTCATGACTCCTAAGCTCAGAGCAAGCCATTCAACTTCATACATCCACTCCATCTGACCACTTCAGGCAGTGCCTGACAAAGGTGCCTCTTTTTAAGACAAAAGCCTCAACTTACACATTAGGTCACAAGCATAACAAGTCTACACCTGCCGAAAGAATAGTCCCGACCTATTCCCACCCTGTTCAATCACTAGAATATACTGGGGCCCATGCTGCTCTGAGGTATCCATTGATCCCCTGAAATCGCATATACAACATTCTATAAATGCGTATGTGTGCATTTGGGGTGGGGGCCCACTGTGTTTAGTTATGATAAACCAAAAAAGAATAAGTACAATGTAAGTCTCCTGCGCTTTAGTAAATCTAAACAGAAATCTCTGCCCTCAGAGGTTTCTGTACCCACCACCACCGTGCTAACTCATCTCAAAGGGGGAGGGAGCACCTCTTTGTTCCTCTTCCATCTGGCTTGCAGCACCCACTTTGATCCGAGCAGCCAGCTCATCAGCGAAGGACGTGGGTCTTTTCTACGGCAGAAGAGACCCAAATAATCACTTTTTGTAACAAACTAGTACAGTTTACTTTTGAAAATTTAACCAATTTTTTAAAATAATGGCAAAGAAATTGAAATGCTGAGAAAACTGAATTTAAACAGATGCACTCTAGGAGATGAACACACAATAGTGTACAGATAATATGTTGTGGAATTGTGCACCTCAAAGCTGGGTAGTTTTGTTAACCATGGGCACCCCAATAAATTCAATAAAAAGAAAAGTGATAGGGTAGTGAAGACCTGGGGTAGGGGGGCAGGGGCAGGCTGGAGGGGATCAATGGGGAAGAGGGGACATGTGTAATTCTTTAACAATAAAAATAAAAAATAAAGAAAAATAAACGTATGAACCCTGTACAGATCACCTGAGATGGGTGTTCCTTGAAGTCCTTGGGGTGGGGGATAAGGAGTAGTAGGATGTACCTTGGTTGTGGGCACATTCCCAGTGGGGGGTGTGCAAGAGGCAGCTGGTCGATGTTTCTCTCTTATTATGTTTCTAACTCTCTATCCTTCTCCCTTCCTCTCTGTAAAAAATCAATAAAATATATTTAAAAATGAAAAAAATAAAAGAAACAGAAAGTGATACTGGCTAGGTAACCTGAGATGCTCAACCAGTTTAAAAGTGTAATTGAAAATACAAATATGATGTGAAATAAGATGGAATTAGGCTCAGGTACTTCTTCCAAACCGTGACAAGAGATAGCGACCAGATTTTCTTACAGGTCTAGGGTTCTCTTCAATGTCCTCAATGTCTTCCTCCTCCTTTTCAGAGTCGGCGAAGATGTCACAGCCATCGTCATCCTCTTCTTCATCACTCATTTGTGCAGTGTGCTAAGAGTAAAAATCACCACATAGAACTGTTAGATAAGGTCACCAAATTGAAAAATACTGCTACTTAGCTTTCAGGCAAAACTATAAGTTCATTAAATGCAGCAAAAACTATGAAGCAGTGCACGTGCTAGAACAAATTAATACACATTTATTTTTAACACAAGAACATAATAGTAACATGAGATATTAAAAATACCCATTACTAGAGAAATGATTAAACTAAGTAAGTATCATCCCATCTTAATAAGAATACTAAAGGCATCAGAGAACGGGACCTCTGGCCTGTGAATGGGAATCACTGTGTCACGTGCGACTAACGAGCGATTTAAAAAGAAGTGATGCTGAGAAGGGTAAGAAGACTTTTGTTCAGAAGTGCGCCCAGTACCATATTGTGAAGGGAGGCAAGCACAGGACTGGGCCTCTTTGGGCGTAGATTTTCTTACATGGACACCAACAAGACACAGGGATCACCTGGGGAGGCTACACGGATGGGAGCGTTTGGAGAATCCCAAGAGGTACATCCCTGGAACAAAAGCGCTCTTCGCTGGCATTGAGCGGAGGGCAGAAAGGGCAGGTGAGAGCTTACCTCAATAAGCTAGCATGAGGAATAGCTGGCCGCGGCCTTGTTTATTACAAAGGTCTCATGACTTTCTATGTGTACCATATTTAAATTGATCTCATGCATGAATGGCTAACAGAGCATTTCTTTCGGGCAGTCCTGATTTAAATAAGACTGGATTGTGGTTAAATGAAGATGGTCAGCTTTTTGAGCTCTGGTGATAATTTTGCTTCAGCAAGCCCTCTCTGTCCTCCCTTCTAAAAATGACTGGATTGGATTCCTAGTGTTCAACTTTTCACAGAGGTGGCGAGTGCCATCTCAGAACCTGTAGGAGACTGGCTTGTATTTAGATTGATATGACTGGTTGTATTAATATGTTTAAATTCCGAGGAAAGCCCCTCGCTGTCTCTTAGAAAAGTTAAAACTACAAAGTTAAATTATAAAGTATATATATGGAAGTACCTAAAAAACATGAAATGCTTGAAGGAAAATTAGTTGTAAATATGAATAAATCCTTATTTTATCATAAGTCAATTAAAAGTAATTTTAGTACCTAGTTAGTATGCTTCAACTAACTTCTAAAAGTACAGTCACTTTAATATGAGCCTTACCTGGATTTGGTCATTGTCACTGTGATTGGCAAAATCTTCCTCCGACTCCTTTGGGGGAAAAGGCTTGGTTGTTAATAGGTTTTACTCAGAAGCACAGAAGGCATTTCGGGTCTGTCTTTGGGGCCCCTCAACACTGAGTCTCTGCTGATTCTGGTCACCTGAGCATCAGGTTTACAGGAGGCGGATAGCTGGCAATATCACCCAGGGCTGTTCCAGGCAACATGTAATTTCTTTGTGGTTAATTAAAACATCTCTAACAATGTGCTCATGTCCATCTGCACTACCCACTGGATTTAGAATAAGTGTTGCATAATTAACTAAATTATCCAAAATTGGTTTGTGTTATTTTACTTTTATACTCCATTCTCTAGATTCCCTTCTAAACAGGATACCTGCTTCATCAAGCCCAAGAAGGGAACATCAGTGTTTGCCACCAGCAATTAAGGAAGACTTGCATTGACTGCTGAAAGCAGTTATGGTGAGGTAATTTTAAAAAAGCTCATTTCCCACAGTTAGATGTTTTGTTTGAAGGGCTGGCTGAGGAAGGGCAGGGGAAGAGGATGAGAGAAAAAGAGAGAAGTATATGCATACAATACTGTCTCCTTTTAGAAATCTATGCTCAAACATCTCTAACCTTTACAATAACGAATATTCTGTCTAAAGGAACAAAGCCAGATATAACAGTGGTCAAGGTCCACAGGCCCTAAGACCCTAGGGCAGAGTCAGGTTACAGTTGGGATATGAAGACACTAGTGGCAACAACACAGTTAACACTAATGGACGCTCTAAGCATTACTCTGGTCCAGAAGGTTTTATAATAAGGTTTCAATAGTGTACATTTTTCCTAAAATTATTCAAAGATAGAACTTACTCAAAGACTGTATGTCAGAAAGAGATCCCACCAAAATATCTAAGGTGCCCTCTCAAAATGTATTAGTATAAAGAGGATTTGGTGGGGAGGTGAAGGGAGAGAAATGGTAAAAGGAATTAAAAGCAGTTTTCCTTGTTTTTGTTCACAAGACAAAAATGAAATCCAATCCCACGAAAAAAAAACTTCACAACATGGCTTCTCTCTCTGTTGAAAGATTGATGAAGACATATTGCAATTCACAGACATGTTATTTACTCAGCCTGCTAAACACACCCTGAGTTCCCTGCCAATGCCAACCTGCACACACTGAACAGCCCTTACCTCTTCTTCATTCTCTTCTTCGCTGTCCATAATGCTGCCACGATCGCTGCCTACCGAACCTTCTGTTTAGAAGAAAGATAAGGTTATCAAAAATATACGTAAGAAAATGTGCTTAGTTTCTTCTCAAAATCACAAGCCACCATATAGAAATGCTTACAAAACTAGCTATACCATTAATTGGAATTAAAAGTATATTATAGTGAGGAATTAAATACTTAGCCTCAAAGTATCTCCCCACAAGATACTTATTATTAAAAAAGTTATGAAAAATAAAAAGATGTCATGGTTATAAAAAGCAAAAGCAAAGCTTTTTTTTTTTCTTTTCTTTTTTTTTTTTTTTTTTCAATTAAATGCAGTGAGCAACCCTGGATCCAAATCAGAGGAAAGAAGTGACATAAAAGACACCATGGGGACAACTAGCCAAACCTGAACATGACCAAGGATCAGCTAATAGTATTATGTCCATAAAATTTCCTGACTTTACTCATGATAGTGTGGCTGCATAAGAGAATGTCCTTGTTCTTAGAAAATATGCACAGAAATATTTAGAAGTGACCGACCGATAATGTCTGCTTGCTGTCTCTCAAACAGGTTCAGAAAAAAATAGTATGTAAATACATAAAAAAAAGGCAAAACAAATGTGGCAAAATGTTAACTGGTAGCCGAAACAGGCTTGGCTCAGTGGATAGAGCATCGGCCTGCGGACTGAAAGGTCCCAGGTTCGATTCCGGTCAAGGGTATGTAAATTGATTGCAGGCACATCCCTGCTAAGGGGTGTGCAGGAGGCAGCTAGTCAATGTTTCTTTCTCATCGATGTTTCTAACTATCCCTTTCCCTTCCTCTCTGTAAAAAAAAAAAAAAAAAAAAATCAATAAAATATATTTTTAAAAACTGTTAACTTGTAAAGCTGTGTAATATGTGAGAGTTCTTGGTACTATTTTTATAACATTAATGTAAAGTTTGAAATTATTTTAAAATAAAATGATATGTTAAAAGTAACTAAAATATTTGGTACAAAGAATACCTTCACTGGATAGTTCTCCAAGACCTACATCTTCTTGCTCCATGAACAGCTTTGACCCAATTAAATAAGGTAAAGGACGATCAATGTACAGATCCTATGAAAAATAATAAAAAATAAGCTGTTAAAGCCCTGATGGATGCTCAGTGGTTAGATCATCATCCTAAGCACCGAAGGATCACGGGTTTGATGCCCGGTCAAAGGTATGCACCTGGGTTGCAAATTCAATCCCTAGCTCTGGTTGAGGTGTGTGTGGAGACAACCAATCGATGTGCCTCTTTCACATTAATGTTTCTCTCCTTTCCACCCTCTCTCTAAAAAAAAAAAAAAAAATCAATGAAAAAATATCCATGGGTGAGGATTAACAACAACAAAAAAAACAGCAAAAATCAATCTTTTATATTTTTATTGATTTCAAAGAGGAAGGGAGAGGGAGAGAGAGAAACATCAATGATGAGGGAGAATCCTTGATTAGCTGCTCCCTGCATGCCCCCTCGTGGGGACTGAGCCTGCAACCTGAGCATGTGCCCTTGACACTCCAGTCTGCAGGTCAACGGTCTATCTACTGTGCCAAACCAGCTAAGGCTCAATCAATCAATCTTGAGAATCCTCAAAAAGAGTCCTAAATCTAGAGAGAAGCACACTGAGGAAATAACCCAAATGGTTTTCTATGATCACTACAGGCCCAGGGCACGAATATGTGCACCACTGGAGTCCCTCAGCCTTTCCTGCAGGATCAGGCCAAAACCAGCTCTCGAACATCCCCCAAGGAGTCCTGGATTGTGAGAGGGCACAGGCCAGGCCGAGGGACCCCACCGGTGCACTATAGTGGCTGGGAGATTGGCCAGCCAGGGAGGAATCGTGGAGGGCTCCAGGCATGTCCGGCACATCTCACTCAGTCCTGATGGGCCAGACATCAGCTGCAAGCTAACCTACAGGTCAGTGTCTGTCCCCCACCTCCGTAAAGTGTCTTTACCTTTGAACATATATCTAAGATGGATATGAACCTACCAGGGGGGATTAAAAAGAAATAACATCCCCTGGGTATTAATCACACTGTGTAACTTAGAAAAGTGAAGCTGGTAAAATAAGACCAGATGATAAAACATCAGAATAAAATGAAGGAAACAGTGTACATGATAGTATATGCTGGAGACCTACTCATCACACACACAGATTAAACATTTAAGGACAAGACGGCACTCCACCCCTAGGACAACCTCCCATCGCCACGGCAGGAGGAAAAGCTGACTTCTCCTGAGAGGCATGGCCCTTGGCCATGATACCTCTTCCCCGAAAAGACCCCGGGATGAGGGAGGGAGAATACTTCTGATGCTTCACACAACAAAAAGTTCGGGAAGGTTAATGTAAAGGGTAACGATACAACAGCAATCAATTCTGTGTAAAGAAAAGATAGTGATAATTAGGCCCTAACCAGTTTGGCTCAGTGGATGGAGCATCAGCCTGTGGACTGAAAGGTCCCAGGTTCAATTCTGGTAAAGGGCAAATGCCCGGGTTGGGGTTTAATCCCCACCAGGGGAGTGCAGAAGGCAGTCAATCAATGATTCTCTCTCATCAATGATGTTTCTCTCTCTCTCTGCCTCTCCCTTCCTCTCTGAAATTAAAAATTAAAATTAAAAAAAAGGAAGTGATAATTGGGCAAACTGTTCGCTGACTTAGGAGGCCTTCCCAAGTCCTCCTGTGTGGGGACGTGGGACTAAGAGTGTGGCTAGGAACACATTTCCCAGAGTCCACTGCTAACTTCCAAATCCCAACAGTAAGAAGCAGGGATCAGCCTGAACTGGTATGACACTAAGCTCAAACTGAAAGAGAAAAGCGCAGCTACATGAATGACAAGAGTTTCCTTTTGCAGCATTTCAATTCATAAGACACTTTCATGTCACAAGGACTCTCAAAAGCAATTTAGCAACTTTTTTGTTTACTTGAGCCATTCTGATATTGCCCAATTGTCTCCTTTGACAAGCTGAGAGAAAGTAATAGCAAAGCAATAAATACCTATTGGGCTAATAGCCTGTTCATGAACGTGCAGTTTTATTCATAATAGCCGTTCTCATTCTCATTCTTCAAAACACAATTTAAGTCTCTTCTTTACCCGAACTTTCTGAGCATAGAAATCCATTCTCTCAGGGCATTTATGGTGACACTCATCAATGTCTCCTCTCGCCCACAGCCTGGTAATGCCATAATAAGCATCCTGCGAGAAGGAACCATGCCTGAGACTTCGTACCCCTAACGTGGCATGCTGCCTCGTACACAGGTAAGTAAGTGCTCAATCAACGCTCTTGTGAGGAAGTTGTTCTGACGGAGTCGATACGAGAACGCTGAGTCACATGCTCACTTGCTCGAGTGTCCAAAACACAACAGGTGCAACAATAAGCATTTGAACTGCATGTCTGTACCTTTGGTTCAAGGATCAGTTCCACCCGCTCATTAGCGTCATCTTCTTCGGAGTCTGAGTTTCCTGCTTTAATATCTAGTTGCTCAAATGCGCTGTCCAATACTTGTAAACCGTAGTTCACAGCCTCCCGAACTTTAGGAATCAGATCCACTTCTTTCTGCTCCTTGGTCTTCTCCTACAAAAAATACCGTCCAGCATGGATTTTCAATATATTCATTCCACCGTAATAAAACACTGCAAATGTTCTCTAAAGCCTTGACTCATGCTCAAAAAAACAAACAAACACCTTCATTCAAAATCTAAAATATTTACTAACTGGCCCTTTACAGAAAATCTCTGCTGAACTGGGTGCCATTCTTAAGCTGGAATGCTGGAACTTGACTAAGTATTTTTTACATAATAAATTTCTGGAGTAAAAGACTTCAGTTGTTGGGCTGATAGGAGCAGCCTTCCCCATTTCCCCAATACCCACCCCCACTGGCCACCTTACAAGTCTCCTCTACTTCCATCTCTCAGCCAATAACTCCGCAGGAGAGCGACTCATGCAAGTACCTGTTCTGCTTTTTCTGCCTCAGCCTTGACAACTGGCTCCTCCACTTCTTCATCGTAGACACGCTGAACATGGAAGCAAGTTCATTTTTAAATGGTTAAAACATCATTTGGAATAAATCACAATGAAAGAATTCAATATGCAATAAAAAGGATAAATTCAATAAAGACAAGGAAAAAAATTGTCCTTAAATGGCTGAAGCTACTAGTCAGGGACAAAAAAAGCAAAGATTAATAGTCCATTCACCCAAATTAAATTTTAAGAAAAGATACAACTAGACAACTGAAACCAAGTTCAATGTCATTGTTGACCAGAGTCACAAAAACCCTGAGATGCCAGTTTTCACACCTTTTTGCTTAACCTAACACTTGGTGTTGATGGAGCAATGAATCAGGTAACTCAAATGTGAGGCTACTAAGAATGTCAACTTGCAGAACATACCTACTAGGTAACATGAGCTTCAATATTTTGAGATATAGAAATGACAAGGTAAAAGTTATTGTCTTTCTGTTGCTTCAAGTAGCTGTTTATATGAAAACAGACAAGCCATGCCGCCCACAAACGAGCTGCCTGCAGGCTAGGCATGTGACTGGCCCATGGGCATTGACACAAAGGCCTCTCCCAAAACAGGGCCATCACTCCAGTACCTCACTGCAACTTTCTGTTATTTTTACAGCACTTGTCATTTTATAAATTCCCAAAGTACAAGTGTTACAAAGTGGGGTGATGAAAGTGTTCTGGAATTAAGATACTGGTAACAGTTACAAATCTTTGTGAATATACCAAAACCTACTGACTTGCACTCTTATTAAAAAGGTGAATTTCATGGAATGGGAATTGAATCTCAATTAAAACGTCAATATACAGATACATGGAGTCCAACCAGTGTGGCTCAATGGTTGAGCATTAACCTATGAACCAGGAGGTCACAGTTAAATTCACAGTCATAGAACATGCCAGGTTGTGGGCTCTATCCCCAGTAAGGGGTTTGTAAGAGGCAGCCAATCAATGGTTCTCTTTAATCATTGGCGTTTCTCTTCCTCTCTGAAATCAACAAAATTATATAAATAAGGAAAAGAGATATATTTACAAATATTTTCTTCCCTACCTCCAACCTCACCCTTGGAATAACCAGCTTAAATGTGGTGTGTGCTCTTCGGATTCCTGTGGCTCTTACACAAATGCGTACAGACATCTGAACATATTCAAAGCTCTCCCGTCCTTCGTTCTAAATAATCATCCACTTGGACTATACTTAGTTCTCTGCCCCACTTTTTCACTAATGTTCACATAAGCCACTTTCTGGATCATTGCACATAGATATGATTCAGTTTTGGAAATATCTACATAATATTCTGTGGTATGAACTCAACAGCTCCCTATTGGTGAATATTAAGGTTTCAAGTTTTTGCTTTGTAAACAAACTGCTGTAAACATATGCACACATACATTTTTAGACCCTTTTATTTCTATACGTTTTCTAAAATAGGTTTGCCAAGTTCAAGGACAAAACTGTTTTTTAATCTTAGTAGCTCCTTCCAAAGTACTATCCACAAATCTGTGATAACTCACACTACCTAATGTTTTATGTGCTTATTTCCCAAACCTTTTCCAGCAGATATTATCTGTCTTTTTAATATATATATATATATAAATTACTGATCTTTCACAGAGAGCAAGAGGGATGGAGAGTTAGAAACATCAATCAGCTGCCTCCTGTGCACCCCCGACTGGGGATGTGCCCACAACCAAGGTACATGCCCTTGACCAGAATCGAACCCGGGACCCTTCAGTCCCCAGGCCGACATTCCATCCAGTGAGCCAAAACAACCAGGGCATATTATGTCTTTTTAAGATATCTGCCAAGCCCAGCCGGTGTGGCTCAGTGGATGAGTGTCCACCTAGGAACCAAGAAGTCATGGTTCCATTCCCAGGGCTTGATCCTAAGTAGCAGGCCTGCAGGAGGCAGCCAACTGAAGATGTTTCTATCTCTCTATCCCTCTCCCTTCCTCTCTCTAAAATCAATAAAAAGATATTAAAAGAAAAAAGATAGCTGTCAATCTGATAAGACAACACCGTTTTTAAATGTCCGGATCAATTCTCAAACACCAAATTTGTAATTCTAAGCAACTCCAATCAAAATACTAATAGGATTTTCTGTGGAAAAATTTAATTCTCAAATTCACATAGCAGAGTAAAAAGCCAAGGATAATCATGAAAATTCTGAATCAAAAAAGCCATGGGGCCCTAGCCAGTTTGGTTCAGCGGACAGAGCATCAGCCTGCGGACCAAAGGGTCTTAGGTTCCATTCTGGTCCCGGGCACGTACCTTGGTTTCAGGCTCCTCCCTGGCCCAGGCCCTGGTCAGGGTGTGTGCAGAAGGAAATCAACCTAAGTGTTTCTCTCACGATATTTCTGTCTTTCCCTCTCTTTTCTACTCTCTCTAAAAATCAATGGAAAAATATCCTCGGGTGAGGATAAAAAAAAGAAAAAGAAAAAAGTCATGGGGACTTGCCCTATGAAGACATTAAAATCTATGGTATTTAAGATTATGATACTGGCATATAGCATATAAACATAATAAAAGACAGAGGCCACAATTACATGTACACCTGATTTTATTTTCACATAAATACATATGCACACACATACATTAATAGACATAAATCAGTGATGTCAACCACATAGAAAAAAAAAACAAGATGAGGTCCCTACCTCATACTACATGTATGGATTTATACACATTCACACATATGTATTTTCCAGGTAAGAACAAAAAGGCAGAGATAGAAAAGCCCTCACCTAAAATGTTTAGAGTTAAGGGAAAAATGGGAAGTCGGTGCCTTTGAACCAAATATGGAAAAATATTAAAACATGTTAATGAAGCCCTGACTGGTTAGGCTCAGTGGATAGAACATCAGCCGGCAGACTGAAGGGTCCCAGGTTCGATTCTGGTCAAGGGCATGTATCTTGGTTGCAGGCACATCCCCGATAAAGAGGTGTGCAGGAGGCAGCTGGTCGATGTTTCTCTCTCATAGATGTTTCTAACTCACTATCCCTCTCTCTTCTTCTCTGTGGAAAATCAATTAAAAAAAAATTAAAAAAAATAAAAATAAAAAATCAATAAAATATAAATTAATTTTTTAAAATATATTTTATTGATTTTTTACAGAGAGGAAGGGAGAGAGATAGAGAGTTAGAAACATCGATGAGAAAGAGTCATCGATCAGCTGCCTCTTGCACACCCCCTACTGGGGATATGCCCGCAACCAAGGTACATGCCCTTGACCGGAATCGAACCTGGGGCCCTTCAGTCCCCAAGCCGATGCTCTATCCATTGAGCCAAACCGGTCCCGGCAATAAAATATAAATTTAAAAAACCTGTTTATGCAGGATGGTGCATATAGTTAGCATCTGTGGTTATCTGTTCTTTTCTAGGCATATGAAGCACTTCACTGAAAATTTTGATTTTGAAAGACTATGAAATAAATTATGATCTATTTTTCTAGAATAAGAAAAGTAAAATTAAGTTAGAAAAGCTTAAAGTTAAACAGTAGAAATAAATATGCCATATGTTCCATGGTTTGTTCACTGGACTGACAAAATTATAGTTGATTTTTTTAGTTACTTTTTTACACTTTAATATTTTTTTACGAAGAGTGTTCATTACTTTTATAACAAGAAAAAAAACTTAACGCCCAATGTCTGCATGGGAAATGAATTTGGCATATATACCAAGGCTCTGCTCTAGCTGACAAAGATGCAGATGCTTCTTCAGTTTTCATATCCTTTTTTCTAATTGTTCTATAAAGATCAGAAAATTGGGAATTTTCACACACAGAAACAAAAAATAATTTTTGAAATTGATATTTTAGAGGGGAAGGGAGAGAGAAAGAAACATCAATCTGTTGCCTCCTGTACTTGACAAACTGGGTATGTGTCCTGACCAAGAATCAAACCCACCACCTTCTAGTGCATTGCACAACTCTCTAATCAATAAGCTACACCAGCCCCAGCAAGTAATTCTTAAAACTGAAACTTTAAGACATGGCAGCTTCAGAATTCAAATTGTGAGAACATTTTCTCTAAAAGGTTGAGGTTCATGCTGAAGCCTGAACAGCACCATTATCCTACCCTTTTCCTGTCATTAAAAGCTACCTCCCAAACATCAACAGCTGCAGCTGAACGCCACACATGGCATCTCAGAAACCAGCCAGCAAACACAGAAAACCCAGGGGAAATTTCAGAGTAACCAGGACTGCACACCTCTGGTCACCAGACACAGCAGATAACCAATGCTACTGCCTCCCTTCATCCGATCAGGTTCATGTTTGTCTTGATCATTTTCAAATTAGTTAGTCGTACCCAAATTTTAAAATATCTTGGGTATTTCCACTCAGAGGATCTCTTCCTCATTTGGGGTGACCTGGTAAAAGGTGAAGATGGGGAAAAATTTCCTGAACAGACTATACACAGAGCTGTATATATGTGTTCTCTCATTCACTTAAATATTCACTGAGTCCCTACATATTACACCTGTGCTAGGCCCAAGGAATAAAACATTTCGCAAAAATATGGGGCTTGATTCAGTAGAGGAATTGCATATCAATAAGTTAAAATTATAATATTGGGAAATACTACTAAATTAGTCATTGACTAACCAAAAAAAAAAAAGTTAATAACTAGGTCAATTAATGTTTCAGGACAAAATTCTTAAATTAACAAACTAGTAATTAAGAATTGTGTTCCTTTCTGGTAACTCACTGAAGCATTTAATTAGCACTTCTCCTCCTTCAGAGTTGTCCCTGGAGCCTTTACTAACAGTACTGATTTCTCCTGCCCTACAGAGGCCTAAATGCTCTTCAGTTTCACTAATTCCATAATGCAGCTTGCAACCTTGTCCCTGCCAAAGTTTAATTAGTAAAACCCAGGACTTTGAATATCTTTCTAATGAAGCAAGAAATCAAATGGCACCATCAAGCAAACTAGTTATGTTAGTATTTGAGGAAACTATATAAAGAGCCAAATCACTGCCAAATATATTATCAGCCTATAGATACTTTTAGTGGTACTCTCAACATCATCATGCTCTGCCATGAATGAAAAGAACATGTATCACACGCATTAGAGGGGTCTGGGAAGCAGTTAAATTTGGCGGTGCCAACAGTCACATCCAGAGACAAATTCTGGGTGTAGACTGAAAAGGGAATACAAAGAACTAAGGGCACGGGTAGATGGATGGGAACCCAAGAAGTGAACAATAATACAGAACTATTACACCAAAAATCTTCAAAACAAAAGCCTAGCACTTAATAGAAACTCAATAAACACACAGATAAAATTACACCTGGTGTACAGCTCAGTGATCTGTTTAGGGTTGATTCTGTGTCATAGGTTTAGCCATCGTAACAAAATGCTAGTTGAAAATATTCCAAGTGAACACATGCTTGCCTTTAATATAATTTATCTGAACATAATGGAACGTTCTGTAACCATAGTCACATGCTAGTGGCCCAGACAAATCTTTACAGAATATGTCAAAATAAGGCTTGAGTGCCACACCATTCAGCACAACTGCTGACTACTCTCAAAACTAAAAAGGGATGAAAAGGCTAGAATACGAGGAAATTTTATAATTAAATATTTTAAAGGCTTAAAATTTTTTATTAATTTGTTAAGACATTCATCCTAGAGAAAGAAGCTTAAAGTACCAAAGCCATCACTTGCCTCAAATTTTAGGAAACTAGTAATAGATCTCTTGCTACTCCAGAAAGCATTATTTACAAGTCTGACGTAGCTAAGTGACTCACATTCTCAATGAACTGGGTATTGGACAGCATAAGGAAGTCATTGAAGACATTATGCAGGCGACAATCTGTGGCTTTCGTTTCCCGGATTAGCCCATCCACTTGTTTCTTGATTTCATGGGTCCTAGAGATAGTCTGCTGTGAAAATTCCTGCAGAAACTGGAGTAACTATTTAAAAAATAAACGTACAGAGTATCAATATTATATGCATCTATTTTTTGTCTCAAAACAAAAAAACCCGTTCCTTTCACCTGTGTGTGCACGCGCGTACCAGGGATGCTGGTTTTGTGGGGCTAAGGCCAAGGAGCATGGAAGAACACTTAGAAAGTGCATCAAGCCAATGGCGAGTAGTGGGCACTCGTTACTTCTTTTCTGTAGGAATTTTAAGTCCTCTTTGGTTGTCATTTTACAGGAATTACAGACAATGGGTAAAATAACGAATCACTACTTTTTTAAAAGTCCTATTCATATGCGACTTTGGAGTCACCGTTCTGAGCTTGAAGAAGCCCTCAAGTATAACCTCACGCCCAGCGCCCCACGGCCCCGGGTCCAGCCAGGAGCGGCCTCCCTGATGCCACAGCAACGCCGCGGGCAGGGATGGGCACTGCCCTCTCAGCTCGAGAAGCCCGAGCCCGGCCAAGTCCGCGGGGCAGCACGAAGGGCTGCGGCCCCGGGCCCTCTCCCTGACGCCCGGGCCCTGCTGGTGGGGGTGGGAGAGGAGTTTCGAGCCCGAGAGACACGGGTTTTACTAAGACCGGGGCAGCGGGGCGGACTGGGTGGAGGGAGAATCGGGGTCCGGCCCTCCCGCTCGCAGGCCGGGCGTCCCCCCGCGGCGGCCTGCCCCCCGCGGTCCCTCCCGGCCCGGGGCCCGCCTCTCACGCCCGCGTCGGCCGCCAGCGACCAGGTCTGGCAGCTCCTGCGGATCTCCTCCACCGACCAGGGCCGCTGCCACGCGGGCTCGGGCTCGGGCGCCGGCTCCGGCGCGGGCGCCGTCGGGTCCATCTGCGGAAGGACAGGCGGAGGCTGAGCGCGGGCGACGGCGGCCCGGCCCCCCGGCCCCCGGCCCCCGGCCGGCCCCCGGCCCCCCACCCCCCAGCCCCCCGGCCCCCGCCTCCCCGCCCCCCCGGACCCCGGCTCCCCGCCCCCCGGCCCCCGGCCCCCGCCTCCCCGCCCCCCCGGACCCCGGCTCCCCGCCCCCCGGCCCCCGGCCCCCCGGCCCGACCAGCCGCGGCCGCCCTCACCGTCCCCGCAGCGCAGACCGCGTCCGCCCCGGCCCGCCGGTCCCGGAAGCCGAGCCCCCAGCCTTGCTCCTCCGCACGTGACCGGCTTCACGTGCCCTGGCTGCACGTGACCGGACCCTCACGTGACCGGACCCTCACGTGACCGGACTGCGGCGCCGGAAGGAAGCTGAGGCGGCCGCTGGAGGGGCCCTTAGGCGGCTGGTAGCTGGGTTGGGGTCGGGAGTCGGAGTGGGGGTGGGGGTGCCAGCAGTTGGGGTCGGGGGGTCGGGGGGCCGGGGCCCCGGGCGAGCTCTTAGGCGGGCGGGCCCGGCGGCGCGCACCCCACGCTCCCCAGAGGCGGTGTGGAACCGCGGCTGCGGCTGCAGACGGGGTTGCGGGCAGAGGGAGGCGCCCCCTTGCGGGTCAGCGCACAGCGCTCAGTCAATGGGGAATAGCCCACCTTTCTGACCACCGCCCGCCTTTTGATGGCGTGCTGGGTTTCAGCTCACGGCACAGGACCTACTAAAATCCTTTGTTAGGTCTGATCAAGTAATGGGATGGATATCCCCTCCCCTAGGAAACTGACCTTTAGGTCATCTCCACGCGGCATTCCCTTTCGTTTGGACCACCTTCCATTTGCTGAGATTAGTAATCCCCCTACGGACTTGACTTGGATCCCCACCGCCCAGCTGAAAAAGCCTGCCAAGTCCTTTAAAATCGGACTCCTCGTACCTGGGTGCTCGGGCCATTTGGGGACTCGGCCCATCTGGTTCCCAGATGATCTAATGAATTCATAATTTTTTTTTTTTTACCACTTACGGCCTGTGTGCACCTCTTTCAGTGACCCGAACACTTGACTCTCAGGGCATTGCACTCAGATTCAAGTCCAGTCTAATCATATGATAGACAAAATCCTTATATTCTGATCCCTGCCTGCGAATGCATCTTCACCTCTGATCTGGCCATCCTTCCTCGCACTTATTTGACGTTCTCTTGGCTGAGTCCTTCCAGTGACAGACGAACTTACTTTTAATATCGATTTTTAGAGAGAGGGAGAGAGAGTGCAACATTGACTGGCTGCCTCCAGGATCAAGTCTGCTACCTGGGTATGTGCCCTGCACCAGGGGATGCCCAACCAACGGAGCCACACAGGCCACCACTAACTATATCAACTCACTTTTAAAGATGAAGATCTCAACATCCCCTCATTCCTGTGTGCCCGGTGGCCAGTAATTTAACCTCGAGTGTTTTTTCCTCAGAAAAAAATATGATATTTGCTCAATAGCTAGCATGGTGCCTGTCATATGGTGACCATTAAACAATAGTAGTCAATCATGAGAGGACAGAATAAATGGTTAATGCAGAAAAGAGAAGCTGTAGGCGGGGGGAGCAGGAAGAGTTAGGTTTTGTTGATTTTACTGGCTACAGTCCACTCTGCTGGTGTCCTTGGTTTCTTGCTTATCTGAACTATGCTGGCAGGACACAGTGGATCTTCCTCTGCCCTGTTCTCTTCTCCTTAACCCTTCCAATACACATAAAGACTGAGCCTGGCAAGGGTGGGGTTACTGGGTATTTCTTGGGCGGTGGTAGAATATTCAGTAAGGTAACTTTAAGATATAATATCTTTAATGTTACAACTAATTTAAAAAGAAATTCTGGTTGTTTCTTAGGAATCATTAAAAGACTGAGGATTCAAGAATAAAGAATACTGGGTAGAAGGTCTAAAGCATGGTTATGCATTTTTAAAAGGACATAAAAAGAAGATTTCTATTTCAATAGAAGGGTTAACTCCTGACTCCATCTTGTGCTACGTCCTCCATTTTGTATAACTATGTCACCATGTAACTGGACCCTAGCCCTCACCCAACCAATCAGGGTCAGCCAAAGCAGTGACCTCACCACCCCTATAAATCCTTTGTTCTAGAGAAACTCACACTCTCCCTCTCCACTGCATCGGTGTACGTGAGATTGAGCTCGGGCTAGCTCAAAATAAAAAGGCTCCTTGCTTTTGCATCAGACTCGGCTCCCTGGTGGTCTTTGTGGATCACGAAATCTGGACATAACAAATCATACACACACAAAAAGAAGAGAAACCTTGCCATTTGCAACAAGAATAGACCAGAATTGTATTATGCAAAATGAAAGAAGTCCAAGAGAAAAAAAGACAAATATTCATGAACAAATGGACCAATAAGAACAAAACAGAAAAAAACTCATAAATACAAAGAACAAACTGGTAGTGCCAGATGGGATGAGCTTGGAGGTTGGTGAGATAGGTGAAAGGGACTAAACTGTGTGAAATGCCAGTTATAAAATATTAGGTCTAGTAATAATGTTGTTTTCTAATACCTTTTTTTAAATCGAATTTATTTAAACAATACAACAAAATTTAATCAACAATATAGTTGCCGTTGTTTTCTACTACTTGTGCCCAACGCTCAGGAAGCATTTTAATCCCTCTGTTGTAAAATTCTTGTGATTTTGATGCAAAAAATTCGGTCAATGCATTTTTGAGGCATTCTTCATTATTAAATTTTTTTCCAAGAAGAAAGTTTTGCAAAGAACGAAACAAATGGTAATCGGAAGGGGCAATATCAGGAGAATATGCAGGTTGAGGGAGAACTTCCCATTCCAACTGGCGCAGTTTTTCAGCAGTGATTCTTGCAGTATGTGGTCGTGCGTTATCGTGGTGAAGAATTACGCCCTTCCGATTAATCAGCGCGGGTTCTTTTTCTCTTAAAGCTTGGGCTAACCTTTCCAATTGGGCACTATACACTGCACTTGTAATGGTTTGGTTAGATGGTAAAAGTTCATAATGAAGAATTCCTTTAAAATTCCACCAAACACACAACATCACTTTTTTCGCATGCAAGTCGGGTTTTGGCGTGGGCTGTGGAGCCTCATTTTTGTCCAACCATTGAGGCCGCCTTTTCAAATTAACATACAGCACCCATTTTTCATCTCCGGTAACAATTTGCTCTAAAAACGGCAAACGGTTTTGACGAGAGAGGAGCGAACTGCAAATTGTGACTCTTTGATTACGGTTGTTGTCGGTCAACTCATGAGGAACCCATTTTCCAAACTTTTGGACTTTGCCAAGTGCACGCAATTGATTGGAAATTGTTTTTTTTGTGAACAATTTAAAGTTGTCGCAAGCCCTTGTTGGGTAATTTGAGGATTTTGCACCAAAAGAGCTTGAAGAGCTTCTTGATCAAAATTGGACACACGGCCTCAACCACTCTTGTCATCTAACGAAAAATTTCCCTCGCGAAATTTCTCAAACCAACGCTGGCATTTTCTGGCGCTAACTGCATCTTGACCAAGAGCACTACAGATGTTTTTTGCAGCCTCACTTGCTTTTCTTCCTAATTGGAACTCGTAAAGCATGCAGTGCCGAATATGCTCTTCATCCGCCATCTTCTTAGCCCTAGTTTTGCAACAAAACCCAAACCAAACACAAACTTTTTCAAGCAAAACTTGTTAATTGCACTTCACACATTCTGTAGATACCACGTGTTTGAAGGTTATGTCAGTACAAGTCAACGCCAAGCAAGATTTTAAACGAATGTCTAAAACGACATTAATTATTACTAGACCCGATAAGTCACAGGGATGTAATGTACAGCAAAGGGAATATAGTCAATAATGTCGTAATAGCTATGTATAGTGACAGATACTAGGCTTATAGTGGTGATCACTTTCTAAGGCATATACGTGTCTCATCACTATGTTGTACACCTGAAACAATACAATATTGTATGTCAACTATATTTTTAAAAATAAGTTTTTATAAAACATAGATGTTGCCACCTCTCCTGTGCTCTTTGTCCACCTCTTGGACTTTCTTTGTTCTCACTTGTCATCTCTGAAGACTTCTCCGATTACCCCAAGTAAAGTTTGTGCCCCTCAGTTATTTTCTATACATTTGTAAAAATATTCATCATGAAGTATTACATTGTATTGTAATTTTTATATAGGTCTCCCCTTTGATAATAGCTAAAATTTATGAAGTGCTCAGCATTTATCGAACACCTTAATACATATTAATTTAATTCTCACAATGACTTCATGAAGTAGGCACCATTTTCCCCGTGTTATAGTTGAGAAAACTGAAGCAAAGCAACTTACGAATTAGAAAACCAGTAAAGAATCAGAATAGGGAACCAACACAATTGACCACCATTTTACACTATGGCTAGATTTATACTGTGCTCTACATAATTGATTGCTTAGGTCCGTTGCTAGGTGAAATTTTTTTACTTCTTTTAATATAGAGTTCAGTGATGCAGAGTCGGTCCCAGGAACTGTGTCAGGATGTAGTAACCATTTGTGCTTTAGCCCAGTTCAAAAGTTTAGTTTCACCTGGAACGAGAAGGGTTTAGTTCAGCTTCCTAGAGGCCCCCAGCTCCATTTTAGATTGCTCTTCCCACGGTATCAACTCCATATTGCCATTTTAAAGTGTTTTTACTTATTTCAGAGAGAGGAAGTGAGGAGAGGGGCTAGAAATATCAATGATGAGAGAGAATAACTGATCAGCTGCCTTCTGTCCCATACTGGGGATCAAGCCCCCAACCCTGGCATGCACCCTAATGAGGAATCCAGTGGTGACTTCCTGGTTCATGGGTTGATCTCAACCACTGAGCAACCAGCTGGGCCACATTACTATTTTTTTACATTTCCTCTTTTTCATTGAGATTCTTTTTAGAAAGCATCAATGATTACTCATTGGAAAGAATCGTAGCTCCAACCATTAAAAAAGCAACACATGTACTAGCTGGTATT